GCCAACTCGGGGTGCGCAGTGTGCACTGTGGCTCCGTTCGGGACAGCGTGACTCTGAAGTTGGTGTCTGTCACGGCACGGCGCGTGGTGGGAGGTCTGTTTTAAACTCAGCTGTGTTCTGCAGTCACCTGCACCCCGGCTTCGCGCTTCTCCACGGGGCTGCTGTGATGAGGGCTGATGGGCCCATCGTTGTTCCAGTTGGGACAGCAGCCCCACACCTCGTCGATGGAGACTCAGGAAATACGGTGTTCGGCACCTGCTCCTGTGCGCTGACTGCGTGGAAGTCACCTCCCGTGGGGTCCTGCTGGGTTAGGACAGCACTGAAGGAACTTAGACACTTAGTGTGTCCTGTGGCCGGCAATTGTAGTGCAGGTTCTCATCAAAGAGGAACGTGAAGTTCCTGGTGGTTTAGTTTTAGTATTTGTCAGAGCCTGTTCTATTTTGACAACATGTTAATCTTATGAAATGATGTATATTTTAATTTTTCAGGATTATCACCGTCCCTCAGTATCTGTAGGGGACTGGTTCTAGGCCTCCACGTGGATGCCAGAACCAGATACTCAAGTCCCCTGTAGAAAATGGTATCCTGTTTGCATAGAGCCTACACACTTCCAGTACTCTATTTTTATTATTTTTATTGGTTATTCACTTGAGAGAGTTCCCGTATACTGGTTCGCTCCTCAGATGCCCATAGTTGCCAGGGCCCAGGCCTGGAGCTGAGAACACAGTGCGTATCAGCCACGTGGGCAGCAGGAACCCAGTTACTTGAACTGTCACTGCTGCCTTCCAGGGCCTGCAACAGCAGGGAGCCAGACACTGAACCCACGCACTCCAGTATCCTGAGCAGTAGGCCAAGCGCCCACGCCTTCCTGGGCAATTTAAGTACTGATACAGTGTAAATGCCATGTAAATAGCCCTACTGTGTTGTTTAGGGGATAATGACAGGGAAACAAACCTATACATGCTTATAGACTCAGTTGATTTTTTAAAAATATTTCAATCTGGCCAGCACCGCGGCTCACTAGGCTAATCCTCCACCTAGCGGCGCCAGCACACCAAGTTCTAGTCCCAGTCGTGGCGCCGGATTCTGTCCCGGTTGCCCCTCTTCCAGGCCAGCTCTCTGCTGTGGCCAGGGAGTGCAGTGGAGGATGGCCCAAGTGCTTGGGCCCTGCACCCCATGGGAGACCAGGAGAAGCACCTGGCTCCTGCCATCAGATCAGCACAGTGTGCCAGCCGTGGCGGCCATTGGAGGTGAACCAACGGCAAAAGGAATGACCTTTCTCTCTGTCTCTCTCTCTCACTGTCCGCTCTGCCTATCAAAAGAAAGAATATTTCAATCTGTGGTTGGTTTAATCTGCAGACGTACAGCCCACAAATACAGAGCACCAACTCTGTTTTCAGCTGGATGCTCGGGTCACTGTCGCAGTCACACTCTTTAGTGACTAATTCCTCATCTAAAGGTTGTATCGGTGCAAATGCATATGTTCGTTACAGAGGTGCATATAAACAACCTGTAAAATCTGACTTTGATTTCCCACAGAAACGTTGTCTGCAAACACTGGAGACGCCCCCATCAGCAAGCCCCCACAGCCACACGTGAAAAGGTACAGTGGTCAGCGCTCGGAGGCCCGCCTCTCCTAACACTGGATAAACAATGCGCGCTAAAGGCCTCCTCTTTCCTCCTAGCTTCCATCCACAAATAAATGGTTCCAGAAAGACGATGTTGTCATCTTGAAGATACAAGTAAGGAATGTCAAGGATTACAGATGTAAATACTTCCGAGACAGGGTCGTTTTCAGGTAGGTTGATATGCGCCGTGTGCTGGGCCACAGGACTGGCCGTGGCACCGGAAAGGCTGACTGGGTTCTCTCTCCTAGCGCCTGGGTGAGAGACAAGTTCTACAGAGCTGATTTGGAGCTGCAGGGCAGCATCAGAAAAGACAGCTGCAGGTGCGTCATCAGAAACGACGAGCCCGTGATTACTCTGGCGAAAGAGAGAAGGGAGCCGTGGCGCGGCCTGCTCAGACACAGGGTGAGTGCCGGTGACGGAGGCTGGCGGCCGTGGCTCCGAGGGTGACTCTGTGTTCACTTACGGCAGCTGTTCTGTTGGACAGAATCCGAATGTGGCTTTTGATTTTGACCACTGGGAAGAGTGTGAAGAGGACAGCCACTTCTCCAAGGGTAGGACCTGGGCACCCACTCCTGGAGGGGCTGGGGCCCTGCATGCCGGCGTGGACATATCCCTCAGCTGACTTTAGGGATCCCACCTTTATGGAAATGGGCCGTTAATAAAGCCAGCCTTCAGAGGTCAGTGTTCTCTTTATGGGTGTCCTGGTGCTGAGTGTTCCAGTCTGGGGACTTGCTGACCTTTGGTTAAAAACATAACCTTCTTACAACACTTTTACAGATTCTCTTCCCTAGAATAACTTACTTACAAGCAGACCTCCTCGTTTCTTGCCTAAAATAATGAAAATATAAAATTATCCGCAAGGTGGAGCTAGAGGCAAAGGCACATCTTTGGGTGGGGGACAGATTCGCTCCTTACCACGCACTCAGCATGTTTCTGATGATGCCTCACTCTTGCAGCTGTGACTTCTAAGAGGCTGCCCTGCAAAGTGGCAGAGGTGGTCGGACCCAGCAGCAGCGCTTCGGAGGCTGACGGGAGATGAGAGTTGAGTGAGACTGAAGTCCCGCCGGCAGCCCGAGACTTGGAACAACCATGGCTGTGGCCGTGTGTTGGAAGTTAAGAAAACAAGTGATGCTACCCAAACCGTCTTTCACCTCAAGGAGGAATTATTGCCAGGGTCATCTTATGCTTCAGGATTGGTAATGGTGACAGATTTCCTGGTCAATTAAAAACAGGCTGATAAGACCAGCATTGTGGCGCAGCAGGTTGGGCCTCCGCCCTGCGACACTGACGTCCCATATGAATGCTGGTTCCAATCCTGGCTGTTCTACTTCTAATCCAGCTCCCTGCTAATGCTCCTGGGAAGGCAGCAAAGTACCGTGGGTACTTGGGCCCCTGCCACCCACGTGGGATGGAGTCCTGGGCTCTTGGTTTCCATCTGGCCCATCCCTGGCTGTTGTGGCCATTTGTGGAATGAACCAGCAGATGGAAGATACTCTCTCCTCTCTCTTTCTCTCTCTCTTTCCCTCTCTTTCTGCCCCAGGGCTGTCACTCTGCCTTTCAAATAAATTTTAAACCGTGGTTGCTATGAGAAGGTTGTCAGGAGGGTGGGAGCAGAGGAGCAGCGCGCTGGCCCTCCTGGCCTGGCTGTGCTGCCTGGCACAGCCGTCGCCTCAGCTCGTCCTGACGCACTCAGCTCTGAGTGGCAGCGCAGACCCTGCCACTCGGTGAGGAACGTGCAGGCCCGAGTCGGCCACTCGCTGCTCTCCCTGCTGTGCTGAACAGCCTCGGACCTGCCCGTCGCCCTCAGCAGCGGCCTCGCGGGGGTCGCCATAGCTGCCTCCGAGCACTACCGATACCCACCCCGGCTCCTCCGAGTGGGTTGCCTCGGAAGCGGGGTGAGTGCCGGGGGCCAGCACAGTGCCTGCTGGCAGGCCCAGCGCCCTCTGGAGAGGCGGCTGCTGCTTCCGACGTGACCTGCGCTCCCAGGTTCTTTTGTGGCAGAAACTTTCAAGGACCTGCGTGGTGCCCAGAGGGGACTCAGAACACCTGCCGTGATGACGAGCCTCGTCCTGGGGGAAGGCTGCAGCACACCGAGGTCTGGGAAGAATCTGTGGGCCGCCCCTCTGCTGCGGGCTTCTCTGCTCGTGGGGAAGGTTTAAGGTGAGCTGTTGGGAACCGTGAGGCCCCCTGGACTTCCTCGGCAGCAGCTGAGTGGGAAACGCGTTGGCCCATCGCAGCTGCACGGAGATCTTGGTTCTTTACGTCCGGAGCGCAGAAGCCTGAGCGCACGTGGTCCGGTGAGCGGCCTTGGGTCATACTCTGGCCCTCAGTTTCCTTATCTGTAAAGCGAGGCCCTGCCCACCTCGGGGAGCCTGTGCAGAGCCAGAGCGGCGCGTGCTCTGCGTGGGGGCTCTGGGGGCAGTGCCTTGCTGCTGCGCCTCTCACGGGGACTGCAGTGGCAGGAGGCAGACCGGTCAGGAAGGGAGGGGTGGTTTTCCTTGTTCTCAGCTGGTTGGACAGGCTCTGAGGACGCAGAGGGCTGCGGTGTCTTGGCTGGTGAAGCTGTTGACTCCCGGGGTGCCCCTGTGTCAGCTGCTGCAGGCGGGCGTGGTGGACAGAGGCCCCGCGCCGTGTCCTGTGCTCACCATGGCACAGGCTTGGGTTGGGTCGGCAAGGGTTTTTTTTTTTTTGCTGTCTGTGTCCCCAGCCAAGCGGTGGGGGCCCCTGCCGTCCGAGAAGAGACTGCGGCCAGCTCCCACGTGCGGCCTCAGCGTGAAAGCCCTGGGCAGGCAGCGGCGGGTTTTAAACCTGTTTCTTTGTTCCAGACGTTCAGCTTTTCCTGATGTCTGGAGCACGTGGTCACCGCCTTCCTGTACCGCTGTAGCGTCTGTACTGATTTCATGCGTTGAGTGATTCTCAAGGCGCAAGGGGAAAGCACCTTTGTCGTGGCTTCTGAGGTTGTGCGCAGTCATGGGTTGGGGGCGTCTGTTGTGGTTAGCAATAAAGCTTCCTGTGTTCTGACAGAAACGTGTCCCACGTGTTTCCTCCCGCGTGCCCCCTGCAACATCAGATCCCACTCGCGGCCCCTTCTGCCTGGCCAGGAGGCCAGAGAGGGCTGCTGGGGGTTCGGGGGCACGGACCTGCGAGCGCGAGGGCGGCTCTGCGCCGGGGCTGCCTCCTGCAGCCTGACGTGGCCCGGCCGGGCCCTTTGCTGGCTCAAGACAGAGGCGGCGGCGTCTGAGCAGCGAGGAGAGCAGGGCGGTAAAGCACGGGCCCTGCCCTGCCCGCCTGCCCGCCCGCCTGCCTGCCTGCAACGCCCCGTCAGCGGAAGCGGAAGCCCCGAGGCCTGCAGAGGCACACACATCGCTGGCAGGCGATGCAGGATGCGCTTTATTCGCGGGAGCGTGTTGTGTCCCTCGGGCAAGCACACAGCAGCCGCTGGGCCGTGGCTGCACCTGCCGGGGTCACCGTACACGCCTGGAACCCACCCAGACAATTAAGGATACCAAAAATAATATTACATAAGCATCTGATACAATTCTTCTTAAGAAAAAAATCAGGAAGAAATACCACAAATACTGCTTACAAAACTAAACTCACAGCGTTGAGTTGGTTACAGACACAAACTTGTCACTTGGGGTCTGGCTCCGGCGGCACAACTTCCATGAGCATCTGGAGGTGCATGGTGATGGGCTCTGGAACACAAGCAGCGGGCAGGGTGGTTGGTTAGCGGAGCGTGCGTGCCCACGGACGGCTGTCCCGGAGCCCGCTGGGGCTTTGGAGCGAGCTGTTTCCATTAAGGAATTAGGAAGCTGCCAAGTATTTAACTGCCACTAACCAATGCACACTCTAGGAAAACTAAGTTACACATATACTTACTACCAGTGTCTAAGTCACTAGGACTTCTGTTTATTTAAAGTGTAAGATCACTCATTGGTTTTCACCACCTTAACCCAACTTCTACCAACTTCTGTAGGCAGCAGCTTGCTGAATCTTCTAGAGCTGAGAAACAAGATCTATTTAGTGTCGTGGGCTTCCAAAGCCTGCTTCCGTCATCCTGGCCAGATTATCTGTTGCCATGATCAAATCCAAGTTTTTTTGTTTTTTTTTTTTTTTTTTTAAGATTTCCTTATTTATTTGAAAGTTAGAATTAGAGCTATCTGCTGGTTCACTGCCCATATGGCCACAACGGCCAGGATTCGGTCAAGTCCCCACATGGGTGGCATCTTCTGCTTTTCCCAGGCCACTGGCAGGGAGCTGGATCAGAAGTGGAGCAGCCAGGCCAGGAGCCAGTGCCCACACGGGATGCTGCCATCAAAGGTGGCAGCTTTTCCCGCTGCACCCAACAACGTGGGCCGGAAGGCTGTTTCCTCTCACACGAATGCATTTCCTTATTTCCTTTCCCTTCTGTAGGAGTGCCCACAACCCTCACTCCCTTCCCAGCGCAGGGTTGAGGTCAGAGTAGAGACGGGGGGAGGGGCTGTTTCAGGAAAGGAGACAAGTGCCTGGTGGAAATAACAATATGTTGCTGCTGTTTCACTCTTAATCAACATGAACTAAATTCTCTCGCCACTGTCAGGTCAGTAACGGCACCGATCTCATGGCCCAGGAAGTGGAGGTGGAGAGGACCCAGCAGTCCTCAGGCATTCTCAGTCCTGGCTGGCAGGTCTGAAGCCCAGGTCTCTGCTGGCCCTGGTCGGGTTCTACTCGGTCATCACATGGCTGTCCCCCCTGTGTGTGTGGTCTATAAATGGCACGCACAGGAGTGCATGCAGGGGAGGCTGCGCATTGATGGTGAGAAACTGAGCAGTGGGCAGGTTTTCGGCCACCGGACTCAGTAACACCACGGGGCTGTGACAGGCCAGACACTGCTGGGATACATCGTACACAGCCCACTTCCTGTCTTCAGGGAGCTTACAGAGCAGGAGGCAGGCCCTGGCTTGGGGGTGCTCGTGGAGCCTGGGAAGGGCTTTTGATGAGGAGGGTTGGTGCACTTCAATTTGTTGTGCAGTTTACAACTTATGAATATAGCACTGAAGTAAAGAAAAGAAGTGTAATGCAGTCTCAGAGGCGTCTTTGGCACAAGTGGACTTTAGGTGTGAAAGTGGCTTATGCAGCTAAACTTTTAGACAACAGTTGAGGGCAGGCACTTGGTACCATGATTAAGATGCCACTGGAGAGACCTGCATCCCATACTGGAGTGCCTGGGCCTGCGGTCCTTGCTCCACTTCCCATCCAGCTCCCAGCTAACAACGCACATGCTGGGCGGGAGCAAATGGTGGCTCAAGAACCTGAGTCCCTGCCACCCCGTGTGGGAGAACCACACGGAGTTCCCGGCTCCTGGCTTTGGCCTGGCCCAGCCCCAGTTGTGGGCATTTGGAGAGCAAACCAGAAGAAGGAAGATCTCTTTCTGCCTTTCAAATAAGTGAAAGGTAGAATACATTAATAAAAATAAATAGTTGTCTTTTTTAAAAACAGATGCAAATGACTGCCAGGATGGAGGAGAGACCTGCGGCAGCACAGGCCTTGTCACTCTCCCAGCCCTGGCTCTGTCACTGAGCGACTGGCGTGCCAGTGAGCTCTTAGCTGGTACGCGTGTGTGTCAGGCAGAGGAACGTTGGTGCGCTGAAGATAAACATACTTAACACTAGTGAACCGCACTCATCAGAGGTCACGGTGGCCATCTAAGCTTACAGGTATTTTAAGTTAAAAAGGAAATGAGGGACAGGTGTTAGCCTAGCAGTCAGGACCCCGTGTCCACACAGGGAGTGGCTGGGTTCAGGCTCTGGCTTCTGAGGCCAGTTTCCTGCTCACACAGACCGTGGGAGGCAGACGCGACCGTGTCAACAAGGGAGGCCTGGACAGTGAGGCAGCAGATGGGAGCTGTCTCCCTGTCTCCCCTCCCCTCCCTCTCCCCTCTCCTCCCCTCTCCTCCCTTTCCCTGCCTCCCTCTCCCCCCTCCCCATGCCCCCGCCCCCGCCCCCCTCCCTAAGATTCTGTTTAAAATGCTTTGCTTTCCCTTCCTGCCTGGCAGGCGAAGTGATGGAAACAGGCGGCCCAGGACGGGCCCGGAGGTGTTCAGCCGGGGGCGGTGGTGCACTGTGGGGCGCTGCAGCTCTGTGCTTTCATAGCGGAACCACCTGATGTGATACTTACTTGAGATTTTCTGAGCCCATTCAAACTTGTAGTAGACGAAAAGGAAGTAAAATACAAGGCCGCTCAGGATAAATAACACGCAGTAGAGATACTCCCACGCTGGGTTAGTGATGACTGGGGCCAGGACCAAAAACGCAGCTATGAAGGTCACCAGGATGGGGATGAAGATGGGCACCTGCAAGCAGAGCAGCGAGGGGTCAGGGCTGGCTGTGCGGCTGCGTGCGTCCGTCTGTCTTGCTGTCGATGTTTTTCACTGAAGAGGCAGCAAGGCTGATGGAGTATGGTGACCTCTACGTGACCCCTCCAGTTTTAGGAACTTCTGTCAGCTTGTCAGTCTTACCTCATCTACTCCACCTTTTCTTTTCCCTAGAATACGAAGAACCCACTGGACACCGTGTCACTGTGACACATCTCAGTGTGTCTCTGATGAGTTCAGTGCCATTCTTCTCCCTCCCTTTTGTGGTAAACAAACTGGAAGATGGACCCTCTACGCTCTACATAGAGCTTCATGTGACGGCATCCTGCTGCTGCCATTGGCCTTGGCCTCTGTCCCCCGTATTCCCTGCACACTGGTAGCTAGGTTTAGAGGCACGAATACTTCCTGGTGGAGCAGTGCACTTCCATCAGGCACATGTCTGTCCACTTTGGAATTCCTAAGGTCTGTCAGTGGGCTTAGGAGAGGGAGAGCGGTCCAGTCCCACCATGAGAAATGTCCCTGTAACCTCTGGTTTGAACTAGAGGTGAAGCTCGAGTGGTTTAGCCTCTACTGCTAACATTGCCTTGATTCATTGCTTCACCGAGGGTACAAAGGAGTCGCCTAATGCTGTGGAACTGTAGAGTGAAGCCCTTCACCTGCCGTCTGGTTAGGAAGTGGCATTCAAAGACCCTCGTGCAGGGTCTGGAGTATGCTCTGTTCTTTTGCAAGGACAGAAAAAACTTTTTTCAAGAAGGGAAAAAAATTCATATATCCATACTGACATTTCCAATTCCAATGTAAGATTATATGTATTTTTATGCCTTTTTTCCCTGAAAATCTGTTTCTTAATCATGTGAACATAATTCCTTATTTGCTGTGTTCTGTAATGCACCTATAAGAAATTCCCCAGGAACTACACGAGTAGGAACGTAAGTCACTGGACCTTTAAGGCGCTGTGTGGTTGGTTAACCACGAAGGGGATGAACAGTCCTGGTAATCCCCTTCTCCGTGGCTGTCACCTGCTTGTCACACAAGCAAGGCTTCTTTTGCTCCTTTGTTAATTTGGGGGTTTCATTTTTTCCCTTTTCATATTTCTTCCATGAGAATAAACACATATACATAAACTTATATGTTCACCTTCCACTGCTGTTAGGAAGTAGCAAATGACACAAATCATAGCTTTGCCCTGGCCTTGCTCCTGCAGCACATCCAGAGATGCTGACATAGTCAAATGTGAAGTGAGTGATCATCCGTTTCCTGTTGCTGCTAACCATGGTGTCTGTGGCTGAAACACCATTTGAGTGTTGCCTGTTGGGGTCGTGTTGAATCTTTTGCTGATAGAATTGGTGCCTCAAGAAAGAACCTTGTGTATATGTCTGCAATTTCTTTTTGGGATTGGGATAATGGACCAAAGAGCAAATGATTGGACAGTTTTTCCAGGTACCGCCCCTGAGGGGCAGGGCTCCTCACCCAGTGCCAACGGGCAAGGGAGTGAGCTCGTCTTTGCTGCCCACCTGATGGGCCGCAAGTGCTACTTCTCCTCGTTCTGGCCTGCTTGCTTGATGAGCTTGCTGGGATTCGGAGCTTGTTTGTTTTCATGTGTAAGTGCCTTTGCATTTTTGTTTGAACTTTTAAAAAATTTTTTTTCTTCAAGGACTGGTGTTTCCCATCTCAATTGTTGGGAACTCTTTCTTTTGTTGGGGGGCGGGGGAGGATATCACCTGCAAAGACTGCCCCCATTCTGCTGTGTGTGTGTTTCACTTGCTTTTTAAAAAGACTGATTTTTTTCTCTTTATTACTTCTGGAATTTGAGTCCTGGGCAGGCTGTCTGCATTCACGGCTTACAGAGCAGTTCACACTTCATTCGCGCATCAGCACCCTAAGTCTAGAGTCTGTGGTCTTTCAGGTTTCCCACCTAGAGGTCTAACCTCCTTACATTGATACATAATTTAAATTTTAAAGAGACAGAGGGGACAACTCTCCAGATTCCTGCTGGGCATAGTCAAGGGCCAAAAACTCAATCCAGGTCTCCCACGTGGGCGGCAGGCACCCAGCTGGGGGGCCGTCACCACTGCCTCTCAGGCTCTGCACTGGCAGGAAGGGCCGGGACTGAAACGCAGGTCCCACGGAAAGGGATGGGAAGTGGGCATCCTAATGCCCACAGCAGGGGATTATTTTTGGTTTTTTTTTTTGTGTGTGTGTGTTTAATTTTGGGGACCGAGGTATTCTTTTCCATTATCTTTTCATTGGAATCATTTGCATAAAGGCTGTTGATTTCAGTGTGTGGATGTTATATCTTACCACTTTATTAATAGTTTGTTCTTTGATTCCTTTGCATCTTCCAGATACATAATTATACAATCTTCAAAAGGTTTTAAAGACTTTAAAAATTATTTTCTGCCTCTCACACCACAGATTGCTTTCTTCTTTCTATATCCCTTGCTAGTATATTCAAAACAATGCTAAATGGGGACCAGCATTGTGGTGTGGTGGGTAAAGCTGGTTCGAGTCCTGGCTGCTCCACTTCTGATCTAGCTCCCTGCTAATGCACCAGGGAAAGCAGTGGAAGATGGCCCAAGTGCTTGGATCCCTGCACCCCTGTGGGAGACCTGGGTGAAATTAATGTTCCCATAATATTCATTTTCCATGAACTTTTTAAAGACCCCCTCATTGGCAAGGATTTAAAAAAAATGTTGCACCGAAATAAACTTCCCTTTAAGTATCTTCATATAATGTACTGGGAAATTCTTTTTTTTTTCTTTTGACAGGCAGAGTTAGACAGTGAGAGAAAGAGACAGAGAGAAAGGTCTTCCTTCCCTTGGTTCACCCCCCAATGGCTGCTGCAGCCAGCACACCGCGCTGATCCAAAGGCAGGAGCCAGGTACTTATCCTGGTCTCCCATGGGGTGCAGGGCCCAAGGACTTGGGCCATCCTCCACTGCACTCCTGGGCCACAGCAGAGAGCTGGCCTGGAAGAGGGGCAACCGGGACAGAATCCGGCGCCCCGACTGGGACTAGAACCCAGGGTGCCGGCGCCACAGGTGGAGGATTAGCCTAGTGAGCTGCGGCGCCGGCTGGGAAATTCTTAAAATCAGATTTTCCTGGTATTCGTTTGTTCCAGATCACTGAAAAAGGAGAACTCTGAAAGAAGCCAGAGTGATTGCGTATTCCTTACAGAGTGATTGCTCTCTCCTCCCTGACACCTCGGCTTCTCGATGTTATTAGGTTTTTCTGCTCTTGGTTTTCTGCATTCGTTATTGTGCTTTCTGAGTTGCCTGTTTTCCTGTTTATTCATCCAAGTATCGAATGTGAGGAAGTTCTTCACGTGCTGTGTAGACGGTGCCCGGGCCTCCGTCTCCTCCCACTGTTGCTCCAGCGTGTGCGCCTATGCGCAGTGCCCATGTCCTCTTGGCCCCACAGGTTTGTCTTCTTGAGTTCCGGTTTTGTTGCCTCACAGAGAACGAGACTTGTATTATTTTTTGAAATATTAAATTTTCCTTTGTGGTGGCAGAGGAGGTCACGTGCCAGTCCTGTCTTGGATGCACTTGGAGAGGCGCGTGTTGGGGGGTCCAGAGTTGGAGCCGTAGCTGGTGATGTTTCCAGTCCCGGGCCTCTTCCTAGTGGAGTGTCTGGCTCCACGCTGGCTGGAGGAGGTGTGCTCGCTGCTCCCTGCGGTCCTGCGGTCTCTGCTCACAAGCACTTCGCAAGGGTGTGGGAGCTGGATGGCTGCGTGGATGGATTTTCATCATCATCTCCTCACCGGGAGATTTTGCATTGCCAAATGATCTGGCTTTGTCCTGGGCAACGCTGTAGGCCTGAGTGCTTGTCTGACACGTCTCGCCCTTGTTTTCTGAGTTTTAATTTGCCTGCTGCTGCTTTGCCTATCCTCTTATGTTTGATTTTCTTTAATTAATTTATTTTTACAGATCATTTACTTGAGAAGCAGAGTGACAGAAAGGGCTTCCATTCACTGGTTTCCTCCCCAAATGGCCACAACGGCAGGAGCTGGGCCAATCTGAAGCCGGAGCCAGAAGCTTCTCGGGTCTCCCACGTGGGTGCAGGGCCCAAGCACTTGGACCATTCTCCGCTGCTTTCCCAGGCCACAGCAGAGAGCTGGATTGGAAGAGGAGCCACCGGGACTCGAACTGATGCCCACATGGAATGCCATGCAGCAGGCAGATGCTTAGCCCACTGTGTCATAGCGCCAGCCCCTTATGTTTGATTTTCCACAGCTTCATAAACCTTCCTGCTAAAAACCTCTCAATCCAGCTGTGCACAGCTGACAGGCTCGTTCTCCCGTCTCACGTCACTTGTATTTCTGTCAACACTCAGCGTGTACTTCTGTCAGTCTTCTGCCCTTGAAGAGAGCCAGTCTGTGGGAAAACACTCCCTAGGAGAGTATTTTCCTTATTTCAAGTCGGAAAACTATCTTGCATTGTAAAAAAAAAAAAAAAAAAAAAAAAAAATTCAAATTCCCAGCTCAAAAACAGCTAAAGCAACAGTAGCTCACACAGCCAGCACGCTGCGTGCTTCACAGGTGTCTGCGCTGAGCAGAGTCACGTGGCTCACGCAGGGCCCGCCCCAGCCTGACACGTGCTTCTCGCTTCCCTGGCGTGTGTGGTGCCTTTGGAATGTGACTTCAAACCTCACATGCATGTTTTGTTGAAAACTTCCTGCTGCCTTTGGCAATTTACTCATATAAACATGAGCTGGAAGTGGAAGGATTAGGAGATTCAAGATTATATAGAGATGTTGGGACCAGCACTGTGGTGGAGTCCTGGCTGCTCCACTCCCGATCCAGCTCCGTGCTAATGCACCTGGGAAAGCAGTGGAAGTTGGCCCAAGTGCTTGAGCCCCTGCACCCACGTGGGAAGAAGTTCCTGGCGCCTGGCCCAGCCCTGGCCATTTGGGGAGTGAACTGGCAGGTGGAAGATCTCTGTCGCTTCCCTTCTCTACCTTTCAAATAAACAAACCTTTAAATTTAGAGCTGTTACAAACTTCAAAAGGCAACAACAAAGGAGCCTGACACATATTCTCCCAAGAAAACATTAACCAGGAAGATGTTCTCGTGGGCACCCCCATGCAGCTCATTATCCAGGGTCTTATATGATGTGCTCCGTTTCTTTTGTCACCTCCTCCCCTATTTGAGAAATGTGTCTTCTGTGGGCAGTGCTGGCATCCCATATGGATGCTGGTTCCAGTCCCGGCTGCTCTACTTCCAATCTAGCTCCCTGTTAATGCACCTGGGAAAACAGTGGAGGATGGCCCAGGCACTTAGGAGACCCAGAAGAAGCTCCTGGCTTCAGATTGGCCCAGCCGTGGCTGTTGGGGCCATCTAGGGAGTGGACCAGTGATGGAAGACCTCTCTCTCTCTCTCTCTCTCTCCTGTCTGCATAACGGACTTTGAGATGAATAATCTTAAGAAAATAAAGTGTCTGCTGGTAAAGGCTGTGCCTTTGTTCTGAGAGTCACCCTAACCGTTAGAGCTACCACAGCTGTCAGAACCAGTGGTGGCCAGGAGGTGCCGACCCTTAGATATTTTACATGATAGGTTATATTATCTCCTATGTATGCCCACATAATAGCGTCAGCCCCTCCCTTTAGGTGTGGTCTACAAGAAGCAGTAAGGAAACTGGCTAGGCGTCCTCGCCCCACGGCTGTGCACAGGCTGGCCTGGCCTGCGGCCTGCACTGACCACACACTGCTCACTGGGCTCTTGCTCAGTGCAGAGCCGTCTACGTCACTGTAAGAAACCAAAGCCGCTCGTGACCGCGGGACACTCAGCTTACCTTGATGGGCCTTTCCAGTTCTTTCCTTGTAAACCTCATCACGATGAGTCCTAGAATCGTCAGGCCATAAAACAGCCATGTGGCAAAACTGAAGTAATTGACGAGGGAGTTTATGTCACCAGGAATGATATAAATGGTTGCAACGATCCCCTGGTAGACAGAAGAGCAAATTTTAGGTCATCGGTGCATGAAACCCGGTCCTCACCGCTTCACAGACGGCCAGAGCAGCGGTTTCCCTGCGCACAGCACTAGCGTGACAGAGACCCCGGGCAGCCCACCCGGGCAGGGGTTAAACCGGACTTGGCCGTGAGGTCTGTTCTCTGAAGCCTGGGAAGCGGCTTGGGAAAGCCAAATGTTTGAAGTTGTGGTTCAACGCAAGGACTGAGCGTGGACGGGTCTGACTAGCCCTGCCTACCAGTGACTTTCCCTTCCAGAGTTCTCCACACAGGCAGGACCTCGGACGATGAAGCTCAGGTCTGGTCTGGGCCTGTGCTGGTTGCATGGCCCTGGACTGGTCTTTCCCCGCTGCGGGTCTCGCTGTCTCCATGGTGAGCAGGTTGATGGACAGCAGAGGGGTGGGGAGCTTGGACAGAAGGCTAGGAATGTGGGTGTCCTGGGACCCCAGAGTGGTGACACACAACCGAGGACCATCCCCCACAGAGGCCCTGACCTCTGAGTTGGGAGTGGCTGCTGTCAGTCACCACTAGTACAATGCATCAGTCTTCTCTGGGCCAGTGGGCCAGTGTCGCTTGTTAGAAGGACCCGGAACAAAGGACACACGTGGAAGATCCACACAGTGGCTGTCGTGGATAAATTCCGGGGGTGCAGCCAGGTGAATTGCTTGTTTGAACTGTCCTGGGTTTTGTTTCAATGCAAGGATCTTGGGAACCTGGGCTTAGCAGTACGCATCTGTCACCGTGCAAACTGGGGGGCCCTCTGCCCTCCAGGTGGGCGCTGTTGCGCAGGTCCCATACGTACGTAAAAGATGATAGCAGGGGCTGGGGTCAGGCGCCTGACACTGATGTAAGAGAGCACTTTGAGCATGTGGCCTTCCCGGCCGGCCACGTAAACGAGTCTGAAAAACAAGCACACAGCCATCAGCAGCTTGTCCCACAGGCCCTGAGTTAGTGTCTGAGTCCCACTCCCTGGTCGCCCTCTTGGAGGAGGAACCAGGAGGGAAGAGCGGCAGAGAGGAAGGCACCCGGCATGAAGTCGGCAGAGCAGGAAGAGACACTGGAGAGGCCCGAGATCTTTGAGGCTTAACATATGCGAGAAACGCGGGTCCTGGGGGAAGAGCTGGGAGCTCAGCGCCTAGGGCTGCCGGCAGAGCAGACAGGCGGTGCTGATCCTACGCTACGAAACAAGCCAAAGGAGGGGCGGCTCCGCACGCAGGGATAGTCCGGTAATCTGGAGGATGCTTAACGCCTTCGAGAAAGGCACTGCGTCCCGCGTCCGAGTGCCGGCCGCTCGGCCTCTGAGCCAGCAGCAGACGGTGACTCAGGTGCGCGGGCCCAGCCCCAGCCGTCACCTGCATGTGCGTGTGGGGAGTGAACCAGCGGACGGAATGCAGGTTTCTCTCTCCGCTAGTTCCCTCTGCCTCCCGAGTAGATGAAAAAATAAACGTGAAAAGATAGAGAAGATGATCTAAGCATTACTTCAAAAAGTGGCCATAATTAAAGTTTCAATTAGAGACCAGTGAAAAAAATGGGTTGGAACCTGGATCTGAAGTAGAGAGAGCTGGAAAACGCAGGTGAGAAATACGAGAAATTCACGATCAGAAACAACGTAAGGCGAATTTAAAATGCGGAAAGCTTTATGATGCGGAGACCAGCGCTGGACCTGAGACACCAACAGCCCCGGATGTAGACATCGCAAAGAAGCAGACTCTTACAGGCTCCTGGATTTAGACGATGAGCCCCTGAGTTAGCACAAACTATAGCAAACGTCACGAGAAACGGTATCCAGAGTGATGAGGGAACTTTCAGATTGGAATTCGATGTAAGTCAGCTGGCGTTCGGGACACCGGCAAGGTAAATGCACTTTTGGATGGATGGAGGCACCCCCTCCACGCTCCCAAGTCTTCTCTAGCACGAGGCCAGCTCACGGCAGGGGATTTCAAAGAGCCACGTTAGGGGCCAGCGCCGTGGCTCACTGGGTTAATCCACCTGCGGCGCCGGCATCCCATATGGGTGCCGGGTTCTAGTCCCGGTTGGTTCACCCCCCAAATGGCCGCTACTGAGGTCTACCTCTGCCTCTCAAATAAATAAATATTTCAAAAAAATATATATACAACATAAATGAGTAGAACACAGTCCCAACTGCAAAGGACAGGTAACTCCACTGAGACGGAATATTAGATATTGCCTGGGCCTGGAGGTAGGAACAGAGATCAGCGTTCGGCAGGAGGGAGCTTTTGGGTTGATGGGAATGGCCTGGGGTTGATTGTGATGGGGTTCACACAGTTTATAAGCCTGCTAACGTAACTGAGCTGAGCCTTTACTAAGGGTAAGTTTTATGGTACTTAGACCTCAGTAGGGCTATTAAAGTTGTGTTTTTATATACTCAGAGTGAGCCACTGTTACTTGTAATAGCATGAAAATATATGACTTTGGAATAAATCTGACAAAAGATGTGTAAGAACTGTACACCCACAACTACTCCAGAACATTTTTAGAAAAAATCAGAGATGACCAGGTGAACAGCAGTCCACGCCCGTGGAGTGGGAGACTTGGCACTTCCCCGTGCAGCCCTGCCCCAAGCCCCCAAGGCTCTAAAATCCTCACAGACACGGGAAAACTGGTGACCCCTACGCTGATCCGTTGTCCCCTTTATCCAGACGGACCAAAGACCTAACGGGGAGGCCATGCAAAGGTAATGGGAGTGCCACAGGCCACTGGTCTGGACAATAGTTTCTCATGTGTGACCCTAAAAGCACAAGCAGCAAGTGCAGAAATTGACAACGGGGGTGGCAGCCAACTGAAAAGCCTCTGCACAGGACAGAGAACAACAGAGTGAAGAGGAAACCATCCAGCTGCGAGAAAATACTGGCAAAGCATAATCAGACTGAAGGCTGACTTCCAGAGGACACAGGGAACTCCAGAGAACAAGCAAACAACTGTGAAGGTGGACAAAGGACCCGAACAGAAAGGCCACAGCCACATGAAGCAGGCTCAGCATCACTGTCAGAGAAACGGGACTACAAGCCGCAGTGCACCGCCTCACACCTGTTCTAGCGGCCGCGATCCGAGAAGTGAAAGAGCAGCCTTGGTGAGGAGGTGGGGAGGACACTCTTGGTGGGAACCGGAATTAGCGTAGCCATTTTTGAAAACAAAACAGGGGTTCCTCAAAAAATCAAAAATAGGATTACCGTGAGATCCAGCATCCCACTTCTGGTTAAACATCCAGAAAAGTCGAAGTGTTCATTGCAGCAGCAGTCACAATAGCCAAGACACAGAGGCAGTCCAGCACCCAGGAACAAATGAAAGGCTGAGAACGTGCTGTGAAGACCCGCTGTGCCAAGGGAAGTAAGCTTGGGCACGCAAAGACAGCCAGCACATGATCTCACAGGTACAATCCCAAAATTCCAGACTCCTGGAGGCTCGGAATGGCAGAGGGGAGGTGGCCTTGGAGGGGGTGCTGGTAGCCAAAGGGAGGCCGGGAGAAGGGCTTCTGGCACCTGTTGCCCGGCAAGGTGACCATGGTTAATCACAGTGTGCCACACAAGGGGACTTCAGAAAGGTCGTGGGAACTGGACTCAAAAGTAAGTTTGTTTTGGTGCAGAAAGAATTCTGAAATCCATGTAATTTTTTTCCATCACAACACATTTTCCATACACTTTTTAAAGACTGATAAATTTCAGAGTTTCAGAATTCAAAAAAATGGGTTCTAGGGGCTGGCGGGATGGCATAGCAAGTTACACTGCCGCCTGTGAGGCCGGCATCCCACGTGGTCACCGGTTTGAGATCTGGCTGCTCCACTTCTGATCCAGCTCCCTGCTGTGGCCTGGGAAAGCAGTGGAGGATGGCCCAAGTGCTTGGGGCCCTGCACCCACATGGGGGACCTGGAAGAAGCTCCTGGCTCCTGGCTTTGGCCTGCCCCAGCCCTAGTCACTGCAGGCATTTGGGGAGTGAACCAGCAGATGAGAGACCTCTCTGTCTCTACCACTCACTGTCTCTAACTCTGCCTTTCAAATAAATTAAATTAAAAAAATACTATTCATATAGAAAGGCAAAAATCTAAAAAAAGAACACAGATGGAGAACTGGTACTGCGTGCACTTGGCTTCAGCAGTCGATCTCTGGCGTGCGTCTCGTCTTTTCTGGTGGGGACGTTGAGGTGGGCTCGGCTAGAGGCGTCCCCGGGAGCCCTGGACTCCTGAGCACAGACCTTGGTGAGTGTGGCGGTGCTTCCGGGAAGGACCCCGCCCGGTGCCAGGGGACCAGGCTGCCGCTGCTCACTGTCCAGCCACACTGGGTCTCAAGGCCTAGCAGCCAGGCCTGTCCGTCAGTGAGGTGGTATGGGAACTGACCCACAGCGGCTGCTGGCTGCACGCTGCAGTGGTGGGCTGGAGGAGCCACAGACACTGCCAGGGCCGGCAAGCCCGGATGCTTAACTACTTGGCCCTGAAATTCCTGCTCTAGTGCGTGTCTGTATTTGGATGCTTGGGGAATCTCAACAGGTGAAAAATACAATGTAAAACGTCCAATGCGTAAACTCACCGGTCCAGTGGCACTGCCCCCGTCCCTCCCCCAGCCCCCTGCTGGGTTCAGCTGTGCCCAGTGTGGAGTGGCAGCCTTGCTGGCCAGTTGGCAGCGTGGCGTGGAGCCCGGTCCCTTCTCTGACTGCCATGGTGCTCCCAAGGGCCCCGAGAGAAGAGTTTCAGCTGGCGGAGCCCCTGGGGGCCTCGAGAGCTTGTCTTCTCCCGGGTAGGGCTGTGCCCACCCCAGGGCCGGGGCCCCTACCTGCCAGCTGTGAAACAGGTCCCGTTAGCAGCACCAATGGTTGAAAACGCCACGAACACTGGGACAATCCATGAGGCTGGGTAGAGGACGCGGTCCCCAAAGGTCTAGGAGGGAAGCGAGAGGGGTCCTGGGGTCCTTTCACGCCTCCAAGAGGCGCCCCCACCCACGTCCCCCGCGGGCTCAGGTCCTCTGAGGGTGGTGGAGAGAGCTGGTCCTGCACAGAACAGACTTGGCCTTTTTCCTCTTCAGCTGCCACAGAAGCCCCCGCTCCTGGGCCTCGCGGCTCCCTGCGCCCTCTCTGGGACTGCCCCGTGCCCCAAGACTTAGTCGCCCTGCGGTGGCCTCAGGGGACCCAAACCATGACCTGCCCCTTACCTGTCGTTCTTGGCTGCCCTGGGGCCAGCCCTCAGCCCCCACCCCCGCACTCACCACAGCCACGGCCTGGGACTGCAGCAGCTCCGTGGGCGTCATCACCGTGAAGTAGGAGATGTTGATGAGGATGTAGCACACGGTCACCAGCGGGATCCCGAAGATGATGGCCAGCGGCAGGTTTCTGGGAGGGCGAGAGCAGAGCGGCCGGCGGGAGGCGCTTCCTCCACGCTCCAGGGCCGCTCCTGCCCTGTCCCTCGGGCAGAGCCAGGGGACATTTTCACACCGGAGTTCTCCCTCTCAGGCGCTTGCTTAAGGCAAAACCACCCAGAAATAAAGGCCGCTAGGGTTCTGCCTCCCGCCAGGGGCCGGTGAGAGGGGCCCTGCCCTTCCGCCTCCCCTACCTGAAGGGGTTTCGGAGTTCCTCTGTGATGTAATTGAGTTGATTCCTGCAGAAGAGACAGAACTTTGAGTTTTGTTTGTTTTGCTGAGGCACGTTGGAGGCTGTCTCTGCCTCTCTCTCTCCATCTCCCTCCCTCAGGATGTGGTCTCTGCCTCCCCCCACAGCCAAGTCCATGCTGCCCCACGCCCTTGAACCCCCAGAGCTCTGAGCAACACAAAGCTCCTCTCTTTATGAAGTTACCCGACTGCAGCCATTTCACTATAGCGATGGAAAATGTTTTAATAGAGGGGGGAAGCACATGGACTGTTGGCCTCATTCAAGATTCCCCGCCATCGGGAGACAACCCGGCAGGAATGCAGGGAAATCGCCCGGAGGGCTGGTGACAGCGGAGTTCGGGGCTCTACCATGACCTGCACCTCTGGCAGTTTCCACGGGAATTCTGTGGATTTTCAAAGAATAATCAGGAGTAGCAAGAACCCAGGTGCTCCGAATAAAACGGAAGATTCTTTGTCTGAAAAGGGACTGGAACCTAGAAATGGATCTTGGGAAGGAAAGACCAGCCTGGTGGGTGGCCATGATTGCCCCCGAGACCCATCAACAGAATCTCATCAACCAAGCCCAAGAGTCTCGAGGTTGAATTACGAGCGCTGTTGGATGTTCTCAGCCTTGGCGAGTGCTTGGGCATCGTGGCTGCCTCTCACCCAGCTGCGCCTAGATTTTCCCGGGAAGGACTGTGCTCGGGGCCCCACCACTGCCTGCCCACAGGGCACTGGGTCAGGGACAGGCGCCCCGCCAGACCTGGGGGAAGCACAGGTGTCTGGGTGTCTGTGGGACCTCAGGGGAACAGAAAGATAAGGAGTTGGGTGAGTCACATACGGGACATGTGAAGGTGAATTTGAGGGTTACACTGAACCCCAGAAAGGGGAAGTCCTCGCAAGAGATGAACTTAGTCTTAAGGAACCCTGCCCGATTTGTGCCACCCGAGGAGTGCCCAGCTCGCTCACCAGCCATCATAAGCCCAGAGCCCATTGTACAATGCCAGACTGATGGCTCCCACCGAGACTTCTGCACCCTCGAAGGAATTCTCGAAATTCTTCGTGTTTCCTGTAAGTGAGCCAGACAGCACGAGGGGGGTGTCACCTGAGCACATGGCAACTCTGCGCCCATCTCTGTGTGAGAGAAGGGTTCCTATGCTGGGAAGCGAGACCACTGAAGCCCTGCCAGGCGTCCTTCGAGACAGGCTCCCAGGGCAGGATGGCTCGGTGGGGGGGGGGGGGGGGCGTGCAGGCATGGTGGCCCGTCCTCCCGTCCTGCCGCTGGTCACCTTGGGCCAGGAGGACAAGTCCGCTGATGATGATGATGGCCACGATCACCAGCTTGGCCGCTGTGAAGAAGTTCTGCACGTAGCTGCCCAACCGCACGCTCAGCGAGTTCACAGTGGTGATGAGCACTGGGGAGGGTCAAGGGGCAGCGCTCTGCTAGTGGGGTTTCCAGCAGGCCCTGCTGGGAGCCTCCTTCCTGCCCCCCTCCCCCCAGCGGGATTTATCTCCTGCATGCCAAGAGGGTAGGAGCCAAACAAAGGGATTTCAGGACCTTGAAAATGCACCTGGTGGCCTTTGCGACCCAGGGCCCCGCCGCGGCCACAGCCTGCAGCCCCTGACACACGCGCGGCTTCTCGGCACCACAGGGATGGCCGGGGCCAGGAGCCAGCCCTGCCCTGTCTCCCCCTCAGCCCCAGAACGGCTTCTCTCTGCACATGGAGGACCAAGGTCAGACTCCCTCTGTGCCGGGGCTGCCCGGGTGCCAGGCGTGGGTACTCACTGATGGCTGCAGCGGCCAGGCACTTCACGACGACTTTGGGAGGCTCGCAGCCTGAGTAGAAGGGCGTCGCCACGTACTCAGAGAAGCTAAGGCAGATGATGGCGAAGGACGAGGGCTTCATGACCAAGAGGCTGCTCCAGGAGAAGAGGTAGGCGGGGATGGGGCCGAAGGCCTCCATCAGGTAGGGGTACTCACCCCCCGACTTGGTGATCATGGTGCCGAGCTCCGCAAAGCACAGAGCCCCTGGAACACACAGAGGAAGGGTCCCCAGAGCCCACCGTGAGGTCTGCCCTGGTCCAAGGAAGGCTCCGGCCCCCCGCATGGAGGCCGGTGCTCAGGCCAGCCCGGCACGGTCCTCTCCCTCCAGGCGGCCCCATAGTCCAGCCCTGGGTCACTGAGTCACAGCCTGATTGGCCCTTCCCTGCCCAGGCCCATGGGAAGGGAGTCCAGCATCGAAGGCAGGGCACGGGGAGCAGCATCCGTTACCTAGAGTCCCAAGGACCCCACAGGCCGCCCAGATGATGAGGCAGGGTCCCACGGCTTGCGTGTTGCTAAGCACAGACTTGGGGGAGATGAAGATCCCAGAGCCGATGATGGTGCCCACGATTATGCAGATGCCACTGATCAGACCCACCTGGGATGTGAGGAGGGAAGGGGAGAGTCCACGCTGCCAGAGACCCACTCAGGGCCAGAGGTGCCCCCAGCTGAACCCGGGCCCAGGGCCCCGGCACTTGCAGCTTGTGCTGCTGCAGTGGCAACAGCTGGAGCTTGGCTTAGGAGAGCGTCAAGTCAGCGCCAGCCCTGTGGCGCAGTGGGTTAGCCACTGCCTGTGATGCCGGCATCCCATATGGGCACCGGTTCATGTCCTGGCTGTTCCACTTCTAAACCATCTCCCTGCTAATAGCCTGGAAAAGCAGCAGAAGGTGGCCCAAGTGCTTGAGCCCTGCACCCTCCTGGCTCCTGGCTTCAACCTGGCCCAGCCCTGGCCATGCAGCCACCTGGGGAGTGAACCAGTGGATGGGAAATTCTCCCTCCCCACCCCTCTCTCCTTCTTCCTGTCCCTTTCTCTCAAACTCTTTGAACTAGATAAATCTTTTTTGAAAATGTATAAATGAATAGCTTTCTGGGGAAAAAAAAAAGAGCATCAAGTTGATTAATCCCTAGTCCAGTGCATTTAAAAAAAAAAAAAAAAAAAAAAAAAGACGGACTGATTTGAAAGGCAGAGTGACGGAGATGTTCTGTCTGTGCCACAACACCAGCCCCGGCCCCACGACTGAGCATGCGCCATCATCCCATCTTACAGAGGAGCCAACTGAGGAGCGGAAGGTTAAGTCGCAGCCTGCAGTTATGCAGCCAGGCAGGACAGACCTGGCTGGGGTCCCACGTGCCTAACGGAAACACACAGGCACATCGAGCAGTCAGGTCAGCGCCGAGAAAAGCCCTTCTGACGCACGTCTTGCTGGGCAGAGCGGAAAGCTCTTCAGTAGAGGAAAGCCAGAGCCTGGTCCTGGCTGGAGGCGCCACGCGGGGGCGAGCAGGGGCGGCCCCCCAGGGACAGAAGCTCTGGCAACCCAGAACTTGCCTTGATGCCATTTCGCAGAGTGCACTGAGAACACAACCTGGGTCAGGTCCACGCTCCTATGAAGCTCACGAGTAGGCAAAACTGACCTGCAGTGGTAGAAACTCAGGGCTGGGGGCCCTCCTGGAAAGGGGGCGAGGGGCGTTTTCTGGGCCACCACATTTGTCAAGATTCACTAAACTGAGCCCTAATGATGCACGCACTTTGCCATTTGTAAGTTACATACCAATCAAGGCAAGAAGCCGGACTCAGGGCCCTGCTCAAAGCCTCAGCCCTTGGAAGTGGCCAAGGCCTGACATCCAGAGCCCCAGGTCAATGAGCCCAAAAGGTGAGGATGACCTGACCTGGACTGCAGGCTGGCCACGCGAGGGATCCCTGGCATACCTGAGCAGGGGTCCCTCTGAGCTGTCCCCTCCTCGGCCCTCCTAAGAGGCCAAGGTTTGGCTTACAAATGTCTGTCCCAAATCCTCCCTCTGGCCCAGGGATGCTGGTTCTGAGTTACCAAGCTCTGGAGCCGCCTGAGTCTGGGACAGGCTAGGGATTTGCTCGGCTGTGCCCTGCTGCGAGGCCACCATGGATCCCAGACACCGTTACTGCAAGCAGTTCTAAGACTGGCGGCGGCAGGGCGGGTGCTGCTGCCCCGTCGCCCAGGACCCCAGGCCAAGCAGCCAGGCCATGCCGCTGGTCAAGCCCCAGAGTCTTGGTGAACCCCTTCCTCTGTCCCCGACACTGCCAGGCACCCCCGCCCAGACCTCTGCAGCCTGTCCTGGCCTTGAGGCCTTCCCTGAGCCTGCACTTGTTCTGAGAATACTCTGGGGAGCCGGGAGCCTCCCTGTCCTGCCGTGTCTGGCCCCTGACGTCCCCACACAGCGGGGACTGGCACAGCGTGGGGCCCCGGGCCCCTTTCTGCTTCCACCCCACTCTGAAAGCGCCCCTTCCTTCCAGGCCTGGGACCAGCCCCAGCTCCCTGCCACACCGCAGCCCCGCGTGTTTATCCCTGTTGCGCCCCATGAAGAGAGAAGTGGCTACTGCTGAAGAGACTCACAGCTGTGAGGACAGGTGCTTGGCCAGGGTGCCCCAGTGGAGACCCCAACCATCACCAGGCCCTCTCTGACCAAGTGCAGGCCTTCCACATGCTTGGCCAGCAGGCAGAAACGCACACATGAACTTCATGTCTGCCTGTGTGAAGTTCAAGAGAATATGCCGAGTCCAGGCTGGGAGGCAAAGAGGGACACAGAGGTGTGGTGGGAGGATTGCTTGCTAGAGGCGTGGCTGATGAAGAAGACCACACCATCGGCTCACCCTGGGCACCACCGGGGACCCTCCTGCCCCTGCCCCTCCTCCAGACACCCCAGGCCTGGGAGGACCCGCCGGGGGGCGAGACCACCTCACCTCCTTTTGGAGGCTCGTGGTCTTGGGTTCGTCGCTCTGGATGGACTTCTCATCTTCCCGCCGTCTTCTCGGGACCGTCTCCCCCATTCCTTCCTCCCTCCCGCTAGCTCCAGGGGGCTGCAAATAAAGCACAGGTGGGGTCTGGATCCCGCCAAGCGGACCAGACACAGACGGCAGCCCCGTCAGGGCCCTGCCTTGCTCGAGGGTCTGGGACTCCAGATACAGCCAGCGTTTTAGCGGGGTGCCATTGTCAGCCCCAAGGCACAATACGCCAAGAGTACAAAGCGGCTTCATAGGTTCATGGGAAACGGAATGAGAAGTTTATGCAGGACTCTTGAAAATGCATAGTAAGGGAAAAGCTATGCCCGATTTCAAGGTTTTCTGGCATCCAAGTAACCTGTCTGTTCATTTGATTTTTTCCATGAGGTTTCTGAAGTTCCCCTGGATTGTTCACGTGGGGTGGGGTGGGGTGGGGTGGGGTGGGGTGGGACCAGCTTCCGGGGTCCTTCCCCGAGCTCCAGGGCTCGTGTTGCACCTGTCGCTCCCCGTCCTCAGCTGTGACGCACTTGGAAAGGATGCTTCCTCCAGGGGCCGACATCGCTGTTTCCCAAAGTCAAACCAGCTTCACGCACACGGGACTGCACACGGGACTGCCCTTAGCAGAATCGAGTCCAACGAAGGAATTTTTTTTCCCCCTTTACAACTCCTTTGCAAGACTAAGGTACCCCTTGTGGGATAACACACAAGTTCACTGATGCATTGCATGAAAAATTCTACTGGGAAAACCGGTTCCAGGCTGAACCAGGTGATGGTCATGTCAGTGAATCCTTTCCGGGCCCCTGCAGCACAGCGGCAAGCCCTCCCGTCACCCCGCCGGCCTTACCTTCCTCCTTGACCTTGCCGTGCCAGAGGACCTGCCGCCCCGGCTAACTGCCTGCGTCTGCACACTGAGCCCTAGGAATGGCCATGTCTTGTGCCTGGGAGTGAAGGAAGCCAGAGGGTACAGAGGTCAGCCACGGTAATTATTAAACACCACAGTAATTATTAAACACCTTTGTTCCCCCTTAGAAAGCAGCTTAAAAGGTGAGAGTCAGGAAATCCCACCCTCGCCCCCGCCACCCAGATGTTTTGTTTACTTTTCACTCCATTTTTCTTAAAACCAGACTCTCCCGCGTCAGTTGGAGAACTCTCTCCACAGAGCAGAAATCCTGCTCTGGGAATCAGAGGAGATAAGCTTTGCAACCAGCTCTTCTGTTACCCTAACAGGCTGTGTTCCCCATTGCAGCCAAGCAGCGCCCACAAGAACTGCTGTGTCTGTAACTTAGCTACGGCTTCTTCCCGGCCCTGGATCCTTACACGTTCCCTGCGGTTCTGAGCAGGTGGAGGGTGGGCAGGGCATCCTGCTCACTGCTGCCAGGACTGGTGTGGTGCCACCTGGAACCCCAGCGGGAACTTGTGGGGAGGCCTGGGGCTGCCTGCCCTGCACAGCTCTGCATGGTGCCCGTCAGGGCTGGCGCTGGGGCCGTTCACACGGGTCAGACCCCTGCTCAGCTGACGACAGATGCAAAGGGGGCCACAAAGGGCACCAGTCCCACACTCTCATTTGCCTGATGGGGAAACCGAGGCCGCAGAACTCGGACTCTCGACCTGGGACCTGCATTTGAGTCTGGCTCCCCTGGGGAGGGGACGGAGGTCATGGGTGGACCTCGGCAGCTGCTGTAAACACTACTGGCAGCCAAGGCCGGTCTCTGGGAAGAAGCTCTTTATCAGCGAGGCAGGTGCGGCTGAGCCTGAGGAGGGGACAGCAGAGGCTCAGCGTCAAGTGTGGGAGCCGGGGCATTGCCACTGTTACCTTCAGTCAAAACTCCCTGATAGCCGGATGGGCACACAGGTCACCCAGGCAGGGCCTGGCCAGGCTCACTTTGGGGCAGCCAGGCCTGAGAAGCTTGTCCCCTTCCCTTAGGAGGGCCAAGGCTCCTTGGCTGCCCCAGGCTTGTTGGGGGTGGCCCCGGAAGTATGTCCTACCATAGCAGCATGCCCCTCAGAGCGTCTGGCCCATCTGTATTTGCAAAACACTACAGAGTGCTCCCTCGGTCAATGATGTTCCCTCCTGGGGACAGACACCAGGGCAGGGTGCAGCCAGACAGCCTCACAATCCCACCCACCAGCCCCAGGGCCTCAGGCTCTGAATCTGTAGAGGGGCCAGTGATGGCACGCCCTCCCCCACCCAGGCCCTTGGGAAGGGCTGCAGATTTCCCACTGGACTTCAGCCTTTTATGAGTGCAGAGGAGCCACTGGGCTTATAGGGACAGGCGCTGGTTTGCCACACCTGGCACGAGGGTCCTTTGTCAAGTCAGAGATCACTGATCAGTTCATTTGAGGCCCATGTGAGCATTTTCTAAGGCTGTGTCTCTTGGGGGCCGGCACTGTGGTGTAGTGGGTAAAGCTACACCTGTAGTGTAGGTACACCTGTAGTGTAGAAGCTACCGCCTGTAATGCCAGTATCCCATATGGGCACCGGTTCAAGTCCCAGCTGCTCCACTCCCTATCCAGTTCTCTGCCATGGCCTGGGAAAACAGAGGAAGATGCCCCAAATCCTTGGGCCTCTGCACCGGGGAGACCCGGAGGAAGTTCCTGGCTTCGGATCGGCCCAGCTCTGGTCATTCCATCTGCTGGGATGGAAGACCTCTCTGCCTCTCTGTAACTCTGCCTTTCAAATCAATAAATAAATCTTCAAAAAAAAAATACATTCATTGTATTATAAAAGATAAATAAAGCTGTGTCTCTCACCCAACTTCCAACCCAGCAGAGCAAATATTCCATCAATTGTCATGTGTTTTTTTCCTTACAGCAAATACCATGGATTTGATTCAAAAACCAGAGACGTTCTCCCATTAGGCATGGGTGCCTTGTGCTTCGGGGCCTGAAGTTTTGCCTCCCGGCAGTCAGTCTCTCTTCTAGTTAACCTCCTAGGAAGCCTCATTCAACTCCATTATTTCCTAAGACTCTGCTAAAGCTTTTGACCTTCACTTTGAAACTACTTTTTCTGATTGCAAAGACGCTCCCAGTTTGCTGATGCTGACACCACCTGCACTTTCTCTCCTCTTTGGCTTGTATCAGGTCCCCTCTTCCTGTAATGGATTTTAAAAACGTGTTTACGCTGGCAGTGTGCCTCCTTCTGCGGTCTCTGGGCATCTTATTCTCTGGCTCCCCGTGCTGTGACGGAGGCTGGGTCTTTGGCCAACGTTCATCCCTTACCACGTACCAGGCCGGTGCTCCAGTCCTGCCTCAAGCTTTCAATGTTCTTCCACTCACTGAATTGCTGGGCCCTATACTCCTTCCTATTGCTGCTGGCAGTAGTCTGGGATCTTGGGGAGCTCTGAGACAGCTGTGACAGGAATGACAGCTGCTCACTGACCTGCTAATTCCCGACCAGAGGGACTTGTGTCAAGGCTCTGGAATGTGCAAAGTCTTTCAGTATCAAGGACTGATAGTCACACCATTAAACAATTACCAGGAAGAATAGGATTCTGAGACTCTTATCTGGGAACCATCTATGTATCACTCTTTATATGCCCAGGAACCGCTGGCGTGTGCAAGTCTGCCTTAGGACTTTGTCAGGCATTTGTATGTGTCCCAAGTATTTTTTTTTTTTTTTTTTTTAGTGGCTAATCTCCTTGGGAAAATCAGTGCTCTTTCTTGGAATTTTCTCGTTTTCCCCTACAACGTGACTTCTTGTCCTGCTCCCTAACCCCACACCTCCTCTCTGGTCATTGTCATTACTCCTGGTTCCATGGTCATCCATGGGGAAAGGCTGTTAGCCGGTGAGGTCAAAAAGAATTCTGTGTAATCAAAAAATTTTAAAAACAAGTTATCACTTGGGGGTTGTCTGGCATAACGGCTAAGACATCACTTGGGATACCTGTGTTCTGTATCAGAGTACTCGGGCCTCGGTTCCAGCTCTGCTCCTCATTCCAGCTTCCTGCTATTGCACACCCTGGGAGGTGGCGGGTGATGGCTCCAGTACTCGGCTTCCTGCCATCCACATGGAAGACTTGGACTGAGTTCCTAACTTCTGGCTTAGGTCTGCCCCAGGCCCAGCTGTTTCAGATAGGAGATCTCTTTCAATTTCAGATAAAGAAAAAAAGGACTCACATTTTTTTTTTTTACTTTTATTTAAAGAATATAAATTTCCAAAGTACAGCTTATGGATTACAATGGCTCCCCCCCCCCATAACTTCCCTCCCACCCGCAACCCTCCCCTTTCCTGCTCCCTCTCCCCTTCCATTCACATCAAGATTCATTTTCAATTCTCTTTATATACAGATCAGCTTAGCATATTTTAAGTAAAGATTTCAACAGTTTGCACCCACATAGAAACACAAAATGAAAAATACTGTTTGAGTACTAGTTATAGCATTAAATCTCAATGTACAGCACACTAAGGACAGAGATCCTACATGAGGAGTAAGTGCACAGTGACTCCTGTTGTTGACTTAACCAATTGACACTCTTGTTTATGGCATCAGTAATCACCCTAGGCTCTTATCATGAGTTGCCAAGGCTATGGAAGCCATTTGAGTTCACCGACTCTGATCATATTTAGACAAGGTCATAGGACTCGCATTTTTAGTCATCTGCCTTCCGTCTGCCTGGCACACCACCCTTCCTTATGGAACTCTGGACGGCTGCTGACCAAAGGATCCTGGACCTCAAGCCGCAGTGGAGGGCTCAGGACTCCAGCTCAGCCAAGGGGACTCCCTCTGCCCGGACTCTGCATCCCGAGTGGAGAAATGAGGGGAGGGCTGACAGCATCACACCCCCGAGATCCTGCTTTGTGTCCTTCTCCAGACGTTACTGTGAGCGCCCACTGCACATTTCCAAAATGTTCCTGCTTCCCTCAATGCTAGGCAGTCTCCCTCCTGGAGACTCGCAGCAGGGAGGGGCAGAGCCCTCCCAGCAGGCCCAGCTGCCCCAAGCCCGCCTGGCCTCTTTCCCCTCAGCCTCCGACCCCAACCCCCTGCTCCTCTTGAGGTCTTGCGTCTGCTGACGCTCCCCCTCCCTGCGTCTCTCCAGCTCCCCAAGCCCCGCATGTTCTGCCAAGTCCACGGTCTACCCAGTCCTCCAGGAGGCACCCTAACGGCCTCGGTCCCTCCCTGGCGCGCAGCTGCCTTGTCTCGCTGGGCCTCGCCTTCTTCGCCCTGCTCTCACCCTGGGCTCTCAGCCCAGCTGCCTGTCCCCTGCAGCACCCAGCCAGGAAGCCGGGCAGAGGCCCAGTGCCATGTGACCCCCGCCCCCTGCCCTGGGGGGCCCCCAAACTGGCAGAGTACATCTGTAGAGTATGCTCGACTCAGTGCAGAATCTAAGACCTCATGTCTCGAGGGGATCAAATGCTCCCATAAAAGGCCGGCAAAGATGGGGTCAAAGGGAGGGAGTGGTTTCTCTCCAGGGAATGACGACAACGGCAGCGTCCCTCCGACAAGCCAGCCCTGGCCATGCCACTGCTCGGCTGGGCTACAGGTTACTGGAGGGTGGGCGCACATTCCCGTGAGTAACACCCAGCTTACTTACGAGGCCATCTCCTGGCGAGACGACGCTCCGCTTGGAATCCTGTTGAGTCTTTCCATCCTTTCTAAGAGAAAATTAAACCAGAACGGTTTACCTGGTGAACAGGCTTAAAAAAATGTGAAAGAGCTACGGTGTTCCGTCTAGCCACTGAAGCCCACGTGCATAACTTCTGTTCACAAACCGAAAACCTGCGCTGGGGCCTACTTCCCGGCTCAGCATTGCCTGCAAGGGGACTGGGGAAGGACATGCCCCAGCACCTGCCCCTCGCCCCATAGCTTAGCGCCCTGTGCAGGCTGAGGTGAGTGGCCCTCAAGAGCTGCATGTCCCCACAAGAAGGCCCAGTGTGTGGGTCTGCAAGGTGGAGGGGTGGCACATATGGCACACAGTGGGACAGCACCATGGTCCCCTGGCATCTTTCCAGGTTGGGGCGGGGATTCCACCCTGTTGCTCAAAGGGGTGGGCCCTCTGTGGCCCAGGATAAATGGGCGGGGAGAGAGGACGGAACAGGCTTTGTAGGACTTACCCAGGACTAGCGCTTGTTATTCCACTGAACAAGACACCACACTCAGTGAGCATCCAGCTGCCGTGACTGCTGCTTCCCCTGGGGCCTGTCCTCCCATTCACCGTCAGACACACAGCATGACTGCTCAGCCTGCCCCTCCGGCCTTCCAGGCCTTCCCCAGCTGTAGATCAAGAGCTGGGAGGAAGGCCAGCACAGCAGGCCACTGCTAACCTGAGCAATGGGTATCACACAGCCAGCCGGTCTTGGTGGCAACACAGACAAGGGGAAGTACACCGACAAAAGAAATATTTTAGCAGTTACAAAAAGGAGAGAGAGACAGTAAATTTTCAGCAGTATTATTAAAATAAAGCAAAATGTTAAAAACAGACTAACGTCCTGCAATGTCTTCTCTTCATGTCCCCAGCAGTACTCTGCATCTTCCTGGCAGTGGCTGCCTCTCATGCTGGGGACAGGGCGCCCCTCCTGGCTAGTGCAGGGCATGGCTGTCAGGCTCTGGGCCTAGTCAATGGGCTCCGGCAGACTCTGCTGGGCGGTGGCAGGAGGTGTCAGGGCACAGAAGCCATCCAACACGTCTCCCTGAGTGATGCCGGTGAGGCGGGCGTCCTCCGGAGGTCTGCTGCTGCCCCACGTGTCTGTCCTCCCCAGCGAGGCCTGCAGAAGGCGGCGGATTCTTTGGTTTTCCTCGGAGGTGGACTCCCAAACAACCTGAAGTTCACCTTCCATTTTTCTGAGAGAAAGAAACAAAACAAAGGAGAAGAGCACAGTTTAAAACATGTGGACGTGGTGGGCACTTGGCACAGAATTCAATCGCTGCTTAGAGGGTGTTTTATCACATACAGGGAGTCCCGAGTTCAAGTCCCGGCTCCACTGCGGACTCCAGCTTCCTGCTGGTGCACACCCTGGGAAGCAGCGGTGGTGACCCAAGGAGTCGGCTCCCTGCCCCCAGGAGCTCCTGGCTTCAGCCCGGCCAGCCTGGTTGTTTCAGGCATTTAGATGGAAGGTTCTCTGGCTCCCTGCCTTTCAAATTGAAAGCAATGAAGAAACTAAAACATATTTATGGAGCTCTAAGAATCCTGAGTGGAAGAACTTGGTTGAGGGCCTGGCGCTGTGGCACAGTGGGTAAAGCCACCATCTGCTAGTGCCGGCATCCCATATGGACACTGGTTTGAGTCCCAGCTGCTCCACTTCCGATCCAGCTCCCTGGTAATGGCCTGGGAAAAAAGCAGTGGCTTCGGCCTGGCCCAGTCCTGGCTGTTGTGGTCACCTGGGCAATGAACCGGCAAATGGAAGATCTCTCTGTGTCTCCCTCTCTATATCTAACTCTATAAATAAACAAATAAATAAACCTTTCAAAAGAAAAAAAAAGAAAGAAAAGAATGCTTGGTGTCAGAACAAAGGCCCCTGTGCTCGGGCTCTGAAGCAGCAGACTCCAGTGTGAATGAGGCACCCAGTCCCCGGCAACAGGAAAAACGAAAAGGCACCAGCTACAAAAGGATTACTTACTTCTCCCTCTGTAAGTTTTTGCCTTAAAAAAAATTAAACATTCTGTTTATTTATTTTAATCCACTTGAAAGGCAAGGCAAGAAAGGGAGAGAGGGAGGAGAGAGAGAGAAAAAAAAAATATCTTCCATCTGCTGGTTCACTCCCCAAATGCCAACAATACCCAAGGCTGGGTCAGGCTGAAGTCAGAACCCTGGAACTCCATCTGGCTATCCCATGTGGGTGGCAGGGGCCCAAATACTTGTGCCTCTCAGGATGCACCAGCAGGAAGCTGGATGGGAAGCAGAGCAGTGTGGACTCAAACAAGCACTCTGATATGGGATGTGGGTATTCCAAGAGACAACTTAATCTGCTGCTCCATAATATCAGCCCAGCTTTTTCCTTTACTCTGGCATCAATGTCTATTTGTTGAAGAATTAACAGGTGCACGTATAATCATAAATATGGTAAGTGTGGGCTGATCTAAGCCAGCCAGAAGCCACAGCACCCTAGCCTGGAGGCAGGTACCCACACGGCACAGGTCAGGCAAAGGTATCCACATCCTCCCAGGGCTGTGGGCCTCGCAGAAGCAGACCAGGCTACCAGCCAGCGCTTCTCAGGGCAGTGAGAAAGCAAGTCTCTGCTGGGAGGAGAGCAGGCCTCGCCTAGGGTGGTGGGGCAGAGAGGGCACTTAACAAACACTGCCAGACTGCTCTGGAAAATGCCAGCAACTGGCCTAGCTGGGAAACTTGGCAGTACTATTAGTGGGCAGGGCAGTGAGGTTCAGGGAGGACAGCGACACGCCCACTTGTCCAGAGTCATTTATCTTGTCGACTGTTGCTTCCTTCCAAGGTCCATGATGCCCACTGAGTGCTGGGCACAATTTAATTAAAACGTCTCTAAGAAATCCTCAGCCTTGGGTTTCCTGGCACAAATTACCCAGCTATTTGATAGAGTACAGCAATCATGTTTAAATGTATGAACTCAAAGAACAGGAAATCTTGGGCAGAAAAAAAAAAAAACCACTAAATTGAAACCAAAGAGACAGTCAAATCAAATGTCAGTATTGCTGTGATGACAAGAGCCAATGCGCCAAACCCAGATGTCTGTAGAACAGAGAGTAGATTCAGAGTGACATAAATCCTCAGGACTGACTCAGCCCACATTTCTCTTCTCCTGAGGAATGCTTCCTGGAACAGGTGTCACAGAGCCAGGCAGTGAGTGGCGGCACGGGAGGAACCTCTAGTAAAGGATGTACAGGCAGAAGAGCTCTGATATTCCCAACAAAGTGGTTCTAAGATGCTAAGGGTCTCCCAGAGACAGTCCCCACTGGGTCTGTTCTCAAACGGATCTAGAGTGTCAGTCTACACTGTTCTTTATGACTGAGCATTCCCAGACTCTGATTACCTAATCAAGGATAAAGGCATTTTTGAGACAATCAGGAAAAAAATTCAACGGCTAGATTAAAGAAGACATTGAACACAGCTAAAGAGAGAATTAGTACACTAGAATATTGAGCAGAAGAAATGATCTAGAATATAGTTCAGAAAAACATAAGATATTAATACATTATTAAACATAACAATAGTATATGTGTGTTTATTTATTTTTAAAGATTTATGTTTTATTTGAAAGGCAGAGATACAGAGAGATAATCCATCCTCTGGTTCACTCTCCAAATGGCTACACTGGCCAGGGTTGGTCCAGGCTGAAGCCAACAGCCAGGAGCTTCCTCCAGGTCTCCCACATGGGTGGCAGGAATCTTCCACTGCTTTCCCAGGAGCATTAGCAGGGAGCTGGATTGGAAGTGGAACAGCTGGGACCCGAACCAGCACCCATATGGGATGCCCCTAGTACTTATCAGATACATTTTAAAGTCCCTTTATATAAAAAAATTACTCTAGCCTATTTTTAAAATTAATAATAAAATTAAACTGGTTCCAGGTTGGAATTGTTCTCTGGCACCAAAGAGAAGTAAATATAAATCTTATCTGGAGGGAAAAAGTCCTCAATCCAGGCTTTCGGAATTCCACAGACTAAATTTGACCAAATATTAATTCATAGTAAAAAACTACTATTCCGGGGCCAGCGTTGTGGTGTAGCAAGGTAAGCTATTGATTCCAATGCCGGCATTCCATGTGGGCACCAGTTTGAGACCTGGCTGTTCCATGCTAATAGCCTGGGAAAAGCAGGGGAAGATGGCTCAAGTGCTTGGGCAACTGCACCCACATGGGAGACACTGAAGAGGTGCTGGGCTCCTGGCTTCAGCCTGGCTTAGTCTTGGCCATTGTGGCCATTGGGGGAGTGAACCAGCGGATGGAAGAGCTATCTCTTTCCATCTCTCCCTCTCTCTCTCTAACCTGCCTTTCAAATAAAAGCAAAGATTAAGAACAACAGATTTTTAAAAGAACCAAACAGAACTTCTGAAAATGAAATATACAGTTGTTGAAGTAAAAGATTAGTGGCTGAGTTAAACAGAACATTGAATACAGATGAAGAGAGAGTTAGTGAATAGGAATATTAAATAGAAGAAACTGTCCAGATTGTAGACCACAAAACAAACGGATGGAAAATTTGATAAGGCGTGTGGATGATTCAATGAGAAAGATCTAACATGCGGTCGTGCCGCGGCTCACTAGGCTAATCCTCTGCCTGCGGCGCCAGCACCCTGGGTTCTAGTTCTGGTTGGGGCACCGATTCTGTCCCGGTTGCTCCTCTTCCAGTCCAGCTCTCTGTTGTGGCCCGGGAAGGCAGTGGAGGATGGCCAAGTGCTTGGGCCCTGCACCCGCGTGGGAGACCAGGAGGAAGCACCTGGCTCCTGGCTTCGGATCAGCGCAGCACCCCGGCCATAGCGGCCATTTTGGGGGTGAACCAACTGAAGGAAGACCTTTCTCTCTGTCTCTCTCTCTCACTGTCTAACTCTGTAAAAAAAAAAAAAAAAAAAAAAAGAGAGAGAGAAAAGAGAGGTTTTTAAGAGATAATAACTGGGACTTTTTTCTAGAACTAATAAAGACACAAAATTACAGCTGCAGAGTGAAAGTTAAACCAAGTGGATAGACAAAAAAATAAATTCATACTTAGACATATAACAATGAAACTACAGAATACAAGATACAGAGCAGATATTAAGAGGCAAGAAAGAAGATGAACTACCTATTTTTTTTTTACATTTTGAAAAAGCTATTTATTCTTTTCCAAATATTATTTCAGGGGGCTGGTGCTGTGGCGTAGCCAGTAAAGCTGTCGCCTGCAGTACCGGCATCCCATATGGGCACCGGTTAGAGTCCTGGCTGCTTCCATTCTGATTCAGCTCTCTGCTATGGCTTGGGAAAGCAGTGGAGGATGGCCCAAGTCCTTGGGCTCCTGCACCCACCAGGGAGACCTGGAAGAAGCTGCTGGCTCCTGGCTTTGGATTGGTGTAGCTCTGGCCGATATGGCCATCTGGGGAGTGAACCAGCAGATGGAAGACTCTCTCTGCCTCTCCTTCTCTCTGTATAACTCTTTCAAATAAATAAATAAATCTTTAACAAAATATTATTGCAAATATGCGTTTTACAGACGAGGGTGAATTTGGTCCAGACACATTCTATAGAAGCAACCCATTTTTACAGACATTGAGAATAATTCTAATAAAAGGAAAGGCTCGCATTTATCTAGATGTGACTGAATTCCATGGAAAATTTCAGCATCTAAAGTATAAACACAAAATGACCGTGGCTCTTCTTGCCACATGAAATACTGATAGCCTACTCCTGTTAGTTGGGATGTCAAATAGATGATATACTGAATGTTAGACTAGGGCTCCACTGGACAAGGTGAGAATAGGAGAGGGCCAGGGAGGGGATTAGAAGGGGTAGGGTCAGGCAGCAGAATTAATTTAACCTTAGAAGAACAAACCGGCTTTGATCCCCAATCAAACCCAAGGCCAAACGAGTGGACCATTAGAGAGAAATACAAATTGTAGTATCACATTTAAAAGGGCCGGTGCTGTGGCACAGCAGGTTAATCCGATACCTGCAGCAGTGGCATCCCATATGGGCGCCAGTTTGAGTCCTGGCTGCTTCACTTCCAATCCAGCTCTGCACTAATGTCCTTGGAAAGCACTGGAAGACGGCCCAAGTGCTTGGGCCTCTGCCAACTGGATTTTTCTTTTTTACTTTCATGTATCTACAACTAGCTGCAATGACATTAGACAACAACAGCATAGATGTGAGAAAACATTAGCCTCAACTGTTTTGTTTTCCTTTTTTTTTTTTTTTTTTAAGATCTTATTTATTTGTAGGGCAGAGTTACAGAGAGATAAAGAGAGGGAGAGAGATAGAGAGCTCTTCCATTTGCTGGTTCACTCCCCAAATGGCTGCAACAGCCAGAGCTGGGCCAGGCCAAAGCCAGAGGCTTCTTCCAGGTCTCCCATGCAGGCGCAGGGGCCTAAGCACTTCGGCCATCTTTCGCTGCTTCCCCAGGCGCATTAGCAGGGAGGTGGATTGGAAATTGAGCAGCTAGGACTCGAACCAGCGCCGTACAGGATGCCAGCACTGCGGCTGTGGCTTTACCCACTATGCCACAGCGCATTCCCCCTTTTCTTTTCTTTAGGTTCAAGTATTAATCTTGCGTTTGGCGAGGGAAATGCAGAGATGCTAACTGAATTTAGATTTTTAAAAAATAAGTATTCGTGGCGGAAATTTCAAGAGTAACCATTAAAAGAGAAACAGAACATCCAACTTTCAAACCATTAGAGGGCAAAAAAAATGGAAAAACAAAGTAAATAAATTTCTATTTTGTTAGTGTAGTTCTAAATCTACCATTTGGAAGGTAATTGGTATTAGCTCAACTCTGTACAAAGTGACGTGGTTGGTGGTATGATCTGCCAGAGGATCATGTTGGATAGATGTCAGACATCGTGTTGCCTGCCATTAAGAAGAACCTGCCTCATGGGTAATATGAACAGATACTTGCATTCTGCATGGCATCAGATATGCTGACTGTATTTTAAAATCACATCCAAAAACGATTACCAGACCTCCGCATGCATCAGTTTACATTCCATCCTGTCAATGACAACACAGCCGTTATGGGCAGATCAACTTGGGTGTGAAACCAACACCCAAGGGAACTTCACAAAGGTTATGATAGTCTCTAGCAGGTTTGTCTTTTATTTAAAGATTTATTTATTTGAAAGGCAGAGTGAATAAGAAAGAGAGAGACAGAGAGAGATTGGTTTTCCATCTACTGGTTCACTACCCAAATGCCCACAACAGCTAGAACTGGGCGAGGCTGAAGCCAGGAGCCAGGAATTCAATACAGGTGTCCCACATGGGTGGTGAGAACTCAAGTACTTGAGCTACCAACCATTGCTTCCCACGTATATTAGCAGGGAACTGGTCTGTAAGCAAAGTAGCTGGGACTCAAACCAGCACTCTAATATGAGGTATGGGCATCTCAAGTGGCAGCCTTAAGCCACTGTGCCAAAGTGCTCAACCCAGTCCTGGTGTTTTTAAAACACAGACAAGAGACCAGTGCTGTGGCACAGTGGGTAAAACCTCCGCCTGCCATATCGGCATCCCAAAGGGGCACCGGTTTGAGTCTAGGATCCGGCTCTCTGCTATGGCCTTGGGAATGCAGTAAAAGATAGCCCAAGTCTTTGGGCCTCTGCACCGGCATGGGAGACCAGGAAGAAGCTCCTCCTTACTTCGGCTTGGCCCAGCTCTAGCCACTGTGGTCATTTGGGTGGTGAACCAGTGGATGGGAGACCTCTCTCGATCTCTCTGTAACTCTGCCTTTCAAATAAGTTAATCTTAAAAAACAAAAAACAGACAGACAATAGTTTATCAGATGGTTGCAGGAAAAAGGTGTGAGTGATGTAATAACTGACAGCCACAGGGAACATACTGCATCCATTATCTTAGAGTTATGATCTTACTAAAAGGAAATGATCCAATATTTTAAAGTTTCCAGAAATTAAAACATTTAATCGAAAACTAATAAAATCTCCCAAGAAAATGAAATAAAGCAAAAATATCAAAGAGGCAGAAAAAAGGAGGGGCTAGCACTGTGGTACAGTGTGTTAATAAGCTGCTGTTTGCAGTGCTGGCATCTCATATGGGCACTGGTTCAAGCCCTGGCTGCTCCACTTCTGATCCAGCTCCCTACTAATGCTCCTAGGAAAGCAGCAGAGGATGGCCCAAGTGCTTGGGCCCCTGCACCCACATGGGAGACCCAGAAGAAGATCCTGGCTCCTGGCTTTGGTCTGGCCCAGCCCTGGTCCTTGTGACCATTTGGGGAGTTAACCAGTGGAAGGCTTCTGTCTGTCCCCTCTCTGTAGTTCTTTCAGATAAATAAAGAAATCTTAAAAAAAAAAAAAAAAAAAAAAAGGAAAATGGAAAAGGCACTTAAAAGAACTAGGTTATTTAGGAAGTCCAATTCACATAACAGAGATTTTTTAAATTATTTATTTATATACTTATTCACTTGGAAGGCAAAGAGATAGGAAAAGACAGATGGAGTTCCCATCTGCTGGTTCATTCTCCAAACACCCGCAACAGCTCCCATGTGGGAGGCAGGAACCCAACTGTTAGCCATCATCACTGCCTCCTGGGGTGTGCGTCAGCAGGAGCTGCACGCAGGAGTTGGAGCCAGAAAGAAACCCAGGCTCTGCTGTGGGAGGTGGGTATCGTAACAGGTGCCTGAACTGCCAGCTACCTGCTCACTAGAGGACATTTTCTTTTTAGATTTATTTTTATTTATTTGAAAGGTAGAATTAGCGAGAGAGGTAGAGACAGAGAGAGAAGTCTTCCAACCGCTGGTTCACTCCCCAAATGGCCACAACAACTGGGGATCCTGGCCAGGAGCCAGGAGCTTCTTCTGGGCCTCCCACCTGGCTGCAGGGGCCCCAGGACTTAGGCCATCCTCTACTGCTTTCCCAGGTGCATTAGCAGGGAGCTGGATCAGAAGCGCAGCAGCCAGGACTTGCACTGGCGCCCACATGGGATGCTGGTGCTGCAGGCCAGGACTTTTAACCCACTGCGCCACAGTGCCGGCACCTAGAAGGAACTTTTAAAAAAGAACAAAAATGAGGAGGAAATGAAAATCAAGACAAATATTAAATCTAGATAAAACTAAGATGTAAAAGCAAAATTGAGCAATCAAACAAAAAAGGTCCAGATGGTTTTGCCAGAAATCTCACCGAACAGTCCAATGGAGAGGCCTTGTTCTCCAGGGCTGGTGCGGCCCTACCTTTTCTGTTGCAGTGCCTCGTCCAGGACCTCCTGCTTGTTCCGTAGCATCTGGTGGAGGTGCCTCACCTCCTGCTGATACTGAGCTGCCAGGCCAGCAAAGAGCTCCCAGATGTCTTCCAGCTTCAGCTCTGTCTCCTTCTTATACCCCTGTGGTGGCGAAGGAGAGAACGGCATGAGATGCCCACAGGAGACGCCCCTCTGGCCTCATCCCCCACCTGTGCCTTGCAATGTCAGAGCCCCCTTAGAAGCATGGGATAACCTGACTGGGGAGGGCACGTCTGGGTCATCAAAAGATAAAAAGTGATGAAAGGCTCTCAGGTGCAATAAAACCAAAATGATGGTTTTTATTCTACCAAGTGTTTTATTTGCATGCTACAAATAAAATCATAAAATCTCACCCACAGAACAAACTAGATGCTTTTGTGGGTTAATCTACTTTTGTGGTTTCTTTCTTTTTTCCTCCACACAGGGCAATGTTAGTCCCCTGCTCACTGGGTAACTTAAGAACGAATGTTGACACTTGTCAGCACTGTTGTACCAGAGAAGCCACAGAGTAGCCCAGGGAACTGGGTCTCTGCTGTGAGGCAGGTGACCAACATAAAAGTCTGCAAAAAAGCTCGACTCATTTGTTTTCCTTCTTTCACTTTATTGTATAGGAGTTAAAGTACTGAAGAGTGCACCGAGTAATTTTTCCTATTACATTATTTGTATTTGAAATATTTTCTATCTTTTTCATCATTTTTAAATAGAGTTCAACTTTTCTTTTAAAGATTTATTTAAATGGCAGAACAGCCGGCGCCGCGGCTCACTAGGCTAATCCTCCACCTGCGGCGCCAGCACCCTGAGTTCTAGTCCCGGTCAGGGCACTGGATTCTGTCCTGGTTGCCCCCCTTCCAGTCCAGCTCTCTGCTGTGGCCCGGGAGTGCAGTGGACGATGGCCCAAGTGCTTGGGCCCTGCACCCCATGGGAGCCCAGGAGGAAGCACCTGGCTCCTGGCTTCAGATCAGCGCAGCGTGCCAGCTGAAACATGCTGGCCATAGCAGCCACTTGGGGGGTGAACCAACGGAAAAAGGAAGACCTTTCTCTCTGTCTCTCTCTCTCACTAACTCTGCCTGTCAAAAATAAATAAACAAATAAAAAATAAAAGGCAGAACAATAGAGAAGGAGAGACAGAGATCTTCCATCTGCATGTTCACTCTGCAACAGCTAGGGAGAGATGGGGCAGAGCGAGAGAATCTCTTCATTCTGCTGGCATACTCCTCAAATATGTACAACAGGGCTGGGCCAGGTCAAAGCCAGGAGCCTGGAACTCAATCTGGGTGTCCCACATGGGTGGCAGGCAGCCAATCACTTGAACAGTCCCCTGTTGCCTTCCAGGGAATGCTTTAGCAGGAAGTTGGAACTGGAAGTGGAGCCGGAACTTGAACCCAGGCACTCTGACCTGGAATGCAGGTGTCTCAAGTGGCTGTTGTATTAATTACCTGCCCCTAGTCCTCTCTCTTTATACAGTATCCATTGGTTCCCCACCAAAAGCAATAATAACATTGGCTTAAAACAACCTTTTCTCACTCTTGCCCTCCCTGTTCACCTACATACATATGCTTCAGCTCTTAATATCAATTTTTCAGGGTCTAGAACTGTGGCATAGCAGGTAAAGCCACTGTCTCCAATGCCAGCATCTTTTATGGGTGCCAGTTCAAGTCCTGGCTGTCACACTTCCAATCTAGCTCCCTGCTAATGTGCCTGAAAACGCAATAGAAGATGGCCCAAGTTGCTTGGGCCCCTGCACCCACATGGGAGACCCAGAAGAAGATCCTGGCTCCTGGCTTCGACCTGGCTCTGCCCTGGGCATTGTGGCCATTTGAGGAGTGAACCAGTGGATGGAAGATCTCTCTGTGTCTCTCCCTCTGTCTCTCTGGAAAGCCAGCTCCAAAATAAATCTTAAAAAACAAGTAAACAAAATACTTAAAAAAAAAAACCCTAAATTTTCAGCTCTAAATGATATCCTTTGACTCTTTCAAACATAGCACAGTTAAGCAATCAGCATGTTTAACCCTTTCTACTTTCCTGCCCCCTTTCATATCATTTTCTCTTGGCCATAATTCCATATTGTCAGAAAACATTTACATTCTATCAGCCTCCTCCCTACTTGAAGTCTTTGCTCACTGCAAGCTAATTTTGCCAAAGCTCCCCCAGTCGTTTCCTGGTTGGCTGAACTCGGGATGACTGATCCTCAGGAAAGGATCCTGGAAAAAACGCTCCCAGAGCTCCTGGAAGTTCCAAAGCACCCTTGCCCCGCTCGGGCTCCTTCCCTGGTGCTCACGGGTGGCAGGTGGCAGGCGGCACTCGGCGTTGCTGCTTTCCTTTCTCTCGAGCCTTGGTCTTTTGCCTGAGTCTCCAAGGTGTTTCTTTATACCTTCAAGTCTTGAGGTCAATGTTTGGGTTCCATTCCGGGTCAGTTTGTTCCAGGACACAAGGTGCCTCTTCACTATGCAGACTTAAAAGTTTTTTTATGAATTACAGTTTGGAAGGAATTAAGCCATTGTTCTCGTCTCTGCTTTGGGGGCTCTGACAACAGGGATATTGGACCTTTGTCACTCTCTACTGAATTCTTTGTCAAGCTTCATTTCTGCTTTCTTGTCTTTTTCATTTCTAAGAAAAATTTCTAATTTCTAAGTCCCTTATTGTGCTTTTGTGATACCACCTCCTCATTTTGCCTTCATTTCTGAAATGGTTGCTCTCGCTCTATTTCTTCCCTGTGTTTCCTGTCCGCTCCATTTCACATCCTTCTGGGTCTGGTCATCTGTTGTTGAGGTTCCTGTTATTTCTTCCTACCTTGACTGTTTCATTAGCTTTACCTATGAGAGTGCTTCAAAAAACTTTATGGAAAATGGAATTAAAATATTTAAAAAAAGATTTATTTATTTGAAAGGCAGAGTGAGAGAGAGAGAGTGAGACAGAGAGAGACAGAGAGAGTGTCTTCCATCCACTGGTTCATTCCCCAAATGGCCACAGCAGCCAGAGCTGAGCTGAGCTGAAGCCAGGAGCCAGGAGCTTCTTCCTGATCTTCCAGTGGGTTCAGGGGCCCAAGCACCTGAGCCATCTTCCGCTGCTTTCCCAGCAACATCAGCAAAGAGCTGGTTTGGAAGTGAAGCACTGGGACCTGAACCATGCCCATGGGGTGCCAGTGCCACAGGTGGTAGCTTTACCAGCTATGCCTAGGTGCTGGACCCTAAAATGTTTCTGCTGGTATAAAATATTTTGAAATAATGCATAGTTTTTTCACGATATGCATTTCCATGAACTTATAAAATACCTCATATAGGCATGGATCTCAAATTTTTTTGCATCAAATACTTATCTTTTAATTTCATCTTCATGAACTTTTAAAAGTATCTTTATATCTATGTCCAGCTATTTAGACACCTATCTACCTACTTAACTACCTGTCAGTTCACTTTGAACAGTTTTGATCTCCTTTGTGGCAACATTTTTTTCCAATAAGCCTTCATCAACTTTCATCAACAGGCAAACTATGCTTCCATATTTTCTTCAAGTATTTTTGTACGGAGGCCACTGAATTCTTTGGGGATGATATGAAGTTCCTTGAGTAACAGTGGTTGGGCGAGGGCTTCTTCCAGGCTCTACATGTCACCCCTCTTATAGCTCCCTCCATCTCTAAGTCCAGTCTTACCAGTTGGGTTTCCGTCTTTAGCCCCAAGGTTCCCAGCTCTCATCGTGGCCCCTGATGTTCAAAGTAATGTTCTTGTTTTTAGAAGTCATGTTTTTGAGGTTTTCTGAGCTGCCACCTCTGGATTTTCTCAAGCCTTTTCTTCGCTTCCCTGTATATGCTGCCCTAGCTTGGTCCTGCTCATAGGTCTCTGCCCTAGGTGACCCCTTCTTACAAGTTCTTTTCAGATGGGTGATAATGACATGGATTCCCCAGACAAGGCCACCTAATCTAAAGACCACACCTTCTCTTCTGGAAGTACAAAATTAAAAGAAAAAAAAAACCTCCACAGAGGAAAATTAGCCATAATATTTCTATGCAGTCATTAACAGTATGGTATACTCCTAATCTTTCTGAGGCACAGTTGAGATATCAATTTGTACACTGTTTTTGATTAGCTGGAGTTTTTGTTGTGGTTGTTGTTAAAGATTTATTTATTTATTTGAAAGTCAGAGTTACATGGAGAGCAGGAGAGGCAGAGAGAGAGAGAGAGAGAGAGAGAGAGAGAGGGAGGTCTTCCATCCACTGGTTCACTCCCCAGTTGGCAGCAATGGCCAGAGCTGCGCCGATCCGAAGCCAGGAGCCAGGAGCTTCTGGATTGGAAGTAGAGCAGCCAGGACTTGAACTGGTGCCCATACGGGTTGCCAGCACTGCAAGCAGCAACCGCACCTGCTATGCCACACCGTCGGCCCCAAGCTGGAGCTTTAAATACATTATTTAATTCATTCCCCAAATATTTATTGAATTACAGTTTACTGTACACAAAGCGTTATTCTAGGTGCTTGGGATCTATCAGTGACTAAAAACAGACAACATTTCCTACACTTGTGCAGAGTACAGCCTGGTCAGGAGACAGTTAATAAATAAGCAAGAAACAGAGTGAATAAAGTACACAGTCTGTTAGAAGGTGCTGGCATATGGGGAAGAAATAATAACACAAGGTAGCAAGAACCACAAGATCAGAGGTGCTTATTTCTGCCAGCAAAACCTTACGCTGGCATAGTCTGCGGATGAGGAGACACACACAGAAACCAGCAGTTCTGTTCCACACTGACAGCTGTACCACAGGCCGTTCCCACGGGAGGACGCATCTCTGAGGCTGGGGGACCACTGACCTTGAACTGCTCCTCCAACTTTCGAAGTTGAATTTTGTTTTTTATGCTTTTGTTGATGACTCCATTCTTCTCGTTGTCTAAATATGTAGCCTTTGGAGAAAGGTAAAAAGAAAAATAAGTGGATCCCTGGTTTTATAGAAAAATTAAAATAATAAAAAATTCTTTTGCGAAGAGTATTATTAACCACAACGAAGCTCTTTCCTGCCACCTGTCCTGCCCAACCTCCCCTCCTAGGACCCTCCCCACATTTTGCTCATTATGGGCACAGTTCAGGCCACAGCTGAGGAGGAGCCAGAGCAGGGACCAGCATGTGGACTGTCCTGCTGGGCACAAATAAAGGACTTCAAACTCAGAGAGGGGACAGAAGAGGGTGTAAGGGCTTCCAGAATGCCTCTCAGTCATCATGCAGTACATGAAGGAACTTCAAAAAGCTCATGGAAAATGGAATTAAAAATTAAGTTTAGGGAGCATGCACACAGTTAGCAGTTAAGATGCCTGTTCCACACTGAACTCTCTGGGTTCAATTCCCAGCTCAGACTCATGCCTTCAGCTTCCCACTAATGCAGAACCTGGGAGGTAGCAGGGGATGGCTCAAGTGACTGGGTCCCTGCCATCCATATGGGAGATCTGGATTCAGTTCTTGGCTACTATCTCTGGCCCTGGCCCAGGTCCAGCCCTAGCTGTTGTGGGCATTTGGGAAGTAAAGAAGTGAATGGATGGTAGCTCTATCTCTCTGAATCTCAAATGAATAAATAGTTTTCTTAAAAAAAGTTAAGTGCCAAGAAGCAAATAAACTTGTAACTTAACTTAAATATCTATATGATTAAGGATAATTTAATAGGGCCACAAAATGCCCTTCTCCAATCCAAACATAATAGCCAATATATCCAAGAGGGATGTCACCTGAAATTGATTTAGATTAATATCCACATAGAAAATGATCTACTACACACTATAAATTAACTATGTCAGATGCTAAAATTAAATAAAGGTGGGCATTTCCTGTAAGATAGCCACTGATAAAGTTTGACTTTCTGGAATGGATAGATAAGACAGAGTTAAATCACTTGCTCCAAGTCACATGGAAAAGCTGGCCTAGGGGCAGGATTAGACATCAAGCCCTCAGTAGATAAGACTATTGTGTCTCTCACAGAAATGTGATAAATGGAAAATGGTGAGACAGTACTTGAGGATTTTAAAGTTCTTTGTAGCCATAGGTGATCAGAGGAAGCTTCCGAAAGCAGAGAAAGAATTCTTTCCTGCTGAGCATGTAAGGGGGTGGGGTGCAGTCTAGAGCTCTCACAGCCTGGGTAATGCAGCTGTACATGGCCCAGAACTAGGACAGGGCAGAGACTAGCAGGGCAACCACCACCAGGCAGACCTGTGCTAGAGGGGGCAGCCCAGGTACTCCAAAGACAAGCAGCCTGCAAGGGGGCGTGTCTACCTGGGCCTGGCTATCTAGGATCTGCAGTGCCCTGCAAAGATGTCCTGACAGCTCCCATGCCCCTCTTTGGATGGACAGTGGGGTCTACGTGTACATAGGTCCTGGTGATGGGTGGAATCAGAATGGATGAAAGCAGTGCCCGAGTCCTACATTTCGGCTGTGAATTTGAGAGGTCTAAAGATTCTACACTGAAGCTTGGCTCTCATGCCATCAGAGGACTGTTATTAACAGCTGTTGGCTTCACTTGTAGCTTTTAAATATTTGTGCATGGGGCTGGTGCTATGGTGTAGTGAGTAGAGCTGCCACCTGTGGCGTCAGCATCCCATATGAGTGCCACTTCAAGTACCGGCTGCCTCACTTCCAATCCAGCTCCCTGCTGATGCGCCTGGGAAAGCAGTGGAAGATGGCCCAAGTCTTTGGCCCCTGCACCCAATGTGGGAGACCTGGAAGAAGCCCCTGGCTTTGGATTAACCTACTTCTGGCTGTTGTAGCCATTTAGGGAGTGAACCAGTGATGGAAGACCTCTCTCCCCCCGTCCATGCCTTTCAAATAAATAAATAAATCTTTAAAAAAAAATTATGCACAGAGTGTGGGATCTCCATTTGTATTTCCATCCCAAGGCCACAAAGATGAGCGATGGATCTAAGGGAGAACCTCAACTTCATCAGGAAGCCCGTGGTGCTCCCGGGACCACAGGAGAGGCACAGGACCTGCCTCCCAGGGATGGGGACCCCTGCAGGTCCTGCCTTGTTAACAAGAGCCTTCATGTTTTGAGTGGCATCAACAGTTGGTGGGCAGGTCGCCAGCAATGTCTGGTAGATAAATGGGTTTGTTTGGCATTTCACATTTTTCAACATGCCCTTTCAATCACATGGTGGGTAACAGAAGGGAAAATGAGCACTTGGTGCCACTACAGAAAATGCCAGTGTTCGGCACTTTGGTTGGGTCAGTAACTTGTCAGGACGGGATCAACTGGGTAAGAAGCTCTGGAGGTTTTCAAGTTATCAAGGACTTAGAAATCACTGGTAATATACCAGCAAGCTTACCACACCCCTACCAGCAACTACCGTGATTTAAAAAAATCTCTTAGAGCCAGTGTTGTGGCACATCAGGCCATCAGGCTAAGCCATGGCCTGCAACACTGGCATCCCACATCGGAGCATCAGGGATGCACCTAGGAAGACAGCAGCCAATGTCCACCATGCAGGAGACCAGGATGTTCCTGGCTTCTGGTTTTCGCCTGGACCATCTCTGGCCATTACAGCCATTTGGTGATTGAAGCAGGAATGGACAATGTCTCTGTCAGTCTGCCTTTCAAATAAATAATTAATCTTAAACTAAAAATAAAGAGAAAGTCTTCTGGTTTCTTTTCTAATGTCATTCACTAAACCATTACTCTAATCCTATATGATAAGAGATCTGCAACACTGCTTAAACAAACATGCTTAAATGTGTTCAATGTAGGAAAAAACCACAAAATACAAATAAGTAAAAACAATCTTTTTTTTTAAAGAATCTTTTAAAAAATCACCTTCAAATCCACCCTTGGAGACAACTCATTCTTCCATTTCGGGGGAAATCCTGCAAAACTTTCCCATGCATCTAGCTTGGAAACCATCTGTCTTCTTTTGCTACACACTCTGCTGTAGATGTCTTTTAAAGTCAGTGTGGAGATGCCTCCAATCATGTCCCTGGCCCCACTTTTATTGTAAGATTTATTTATTTATTTGAAGAAGAAAAACAGTGTTTGTGTTATCTTCTATCACTCTCCAAATGGCTGCAATGGCTGTGGCTGGGCCAGATCAAAGTCAAGAGCCTGGAACTGCATCTGAGTCTCCCACAGGGGTGGTGTGTGTATGAATGCCAGGTTATGAATACCACTGTCACTTTGGCTGAACTCTAATCTATGATTCTTATGTTTGGTCTTTTTAATTTTTTAAAAAGATTTATTAATTTGAAAGTCAGAGTTACACAGAGAGAGAAGGAGAAGCAGAGAGTCTTCCATCTGCTGGTTCACTCCCCAATTGGCCACAACAGCTGGAGCTACACCGATCCAAAGCCAGGAGCTTCTTCTGGGTCTCCCACATGGGTGCAGGGGCCCAAGCACTTGGGCCATCTTCCACTGCTTTCCCAGGCCATAGCAGAGAGCTGGATCGGAAGTGGAGCAGCTGGGACTCAAACTGGTGCCCATATGGGATGCGGCACTGCAGGCAACGGCTTCACCCACTATGCCACAGCGCTGGCCCATTTGATCTTCAAACAGGGAAAATCAGATGGCGTTACAAGGTATATGAAGAGGAGCCGGCACTGTGGAGTAGCAGGTAAAGCCACTGCCTGCAGTGCCGACATCCCATATGGGTGCCGGTTTGAGTCCCAGCTGCTCCTCTTCTGATCCTGCTTTCTGCTATGGCCTGGGAAAGCAGAAGATGGCCCAAGTCCTTGAGCCCCTGCACCTGTGTGGGAGACCCAGAGGAGGCTTCTGGCTCCTGGTTTCAGATCAGCACAGCTCCAGCCATTGCAGCCATGTGGGGAATAAACCAACGGATGGCAGATCTCTCTTCTCTGCCTCTGCCTCTTGGTAACTCTGTCTTTCAAATAAAATAAATAAATCTTAAAAAAAATATGAAGTTATCTCTGTAGTTATAATAAAGACTAATTCCCTTATTTACCTTCTTATATCATTTACCATTACTGAATAGGTTAATTTGCCTTTTTTAAAAAAAGATGCCAGGGCCAGAGCTGTGGCATAGGAGGTTAAGCCACTGCCTGCAGTACCAGCATCCATATGGTAGGTGGTTCAAGTCCCAGCTGATCTACTTCTAGCCAGTTCTCTGCCAATAGCTTGGGAAAGCAGTGGAAGATGGCCCAAGCACTTGGGCCCCTGTACCCACATAGGAAGCTCCTGGCTCCTGACTTCAGACTGGCCCAGCTCTGGCCATTGCAGCCACTGGGGGAGTGAACCAGAGGATGAAGACCTCTCTGTAACTCTGCCTCTCAAATAAATAAATAAATCTTAAAAAAAAAAAAAAAAAAAAAAAAGATTCCTCCCTCCTTTCATCCTTTGAAAGGCAGAGCATCAGAGACAGAGGGAATGACAGAGAGTGCTATCTTCCACATCCTGGTTCATTCTCCAGTTGGTTCCAATAGCCAGGAGCCTGGAACTTCATCCTGGTCTCCCACATGGGTGGCAGAGATCCAAGTACTTGGGCCATCTTCCTCCACTGCTTTCCCAGGTGTACTAGCAGGAAGCTGGATCAGAAGCAGAACAGCTGGGACTCAAACGGGAACTTCTGACTTGGGATGCCGACATCACAAGTGGCAGCTTAACTCACTGTGGCATGATGCTTGTTAGTAAAATGTCGCAGTCTAATCTATGGGGCAATCTACACCCAACACCATCTTAGGCTCTAGCTCCCGCCACCATTGCTGGAAGCCAGGTGGCCACATGGTCCAACCACAGGTGTCAGCTCCACCCCTATCCTAATGGGATTCGATGCTCCTACCTCCTGCCCACCCCTCCCCCGGCAAAGTTTTAAGAGAACCTGTTCCTGGACACGTGGCTCTCTGTCCTCTTTCTTTCTCTCCGTCTCCTCATATCTCTGTCTCTCTCTCTCATTCTCTCTCTGGAGCTCTCTCGTTCTCTTTCTGGATCTCTCTCACTCTCCCTCTCTCTCTTTTTCCTTCTTCACCCTTTCCCTCCAGCTCTAGGGTTCTCCCCAATAAACCTTTTCACTTACTCTGGTGTTTGGTGTGTTTTGTGGCGGCCTTACAATGCTGGCCCCTATGTGCATTCCAAAAATGTTTTTCCCCCATAGTAAAAGATAAAACTTTACAGAAATTGAAATATGCATCTGAAATTTCAAAATATGAAGTTCTGAATAGATCATTTAAAATACTCTTAAAATAACCTTGCCTATCAACTAGCAGTTAGTTTACTTGACAAAACTTTGAGGACACTTACCAAAAACCTAAGACTGTCACGTTCCTGGGTTATGCTCTCTGCCAGGTCAACAATGTTTGCCAAGTATTGGTGAGAACACATTTCGTTCCCCAGGCTTTCTCCACCTGCTTTTTGAGGAGATCAATTTTCTTCCGAGATTTCCTAGAGTGTAGTCCCAAATGATGGAATAACACGTGAGTGCATAACTAAAAGGAGTGGGTGTGCTTATTACAACAGCAGCAGCTCAGCATTAAATACTGTTCTCCAGGAGCCTAAATCTCCCATTAGGTTCCAAGGGGAGAAAAGGTCAATGAATTTAACTTGAAATCAGGCATAATTATTGACTCCAAATCAAGGTAACAAGAGTCACAAAATGCTTAGTAAAGAATGGCTGATTAAATATTATTCTATAAAACTTTTGGCTCATGTTCTAAGGTACACTTTTGATAAAGGAATTCAGTAATCCCAAAGTAGACTTTTGGGAAAGGGTTAAGAAGGAACTTCCAGGACTTTGAGTCTTAGGGTCATTATATTAGTTGCATTCGAACTACAGACTTGAGAGACATGGGTTAATGTGAGCCAAGGGAAAAGCTTTTGCTCTATTCATATTCTAATATCCAACAATCTCAATTATTCTTTTCTATTTTACAGCTGCTACTGGGGGGAAAAGACAAAAGAAATGAAATGGAATATTAAAGAAAAAAAGATATAAACCTATTTATTTTCTGTGCCTTTTTAAGTTCAGCTTCCAGGGCTTGGTTTTCAGCTGCCAAATTGTTCTTCTCTAAAAGCAGGCTCTTCTGACGTGTTTGCAGAACTGTGAACATTTCCATCAACTCTTCCAAGTCAGCATTTAGTTTCTCATCCTTCTTCTGTAACTGGCTGAAGGAAAAAACAAACAAACAAAACAAAACAAAACAACAGCAAGGCTTGTATACTGAGGCTAAAACACGGCAGCTGCACCAGACAAGTGATATGCTGTGCGCCCAGCCCTCTGTGGCCATTTCTCCCATCCCAGGCCCCACTGGCGCTACATCTCACTACGGGAGGACAGGCGAGCAGACATTGCTGGACAGACCCTCCTTTGCTGGTGGTAACCTAACTCTCTTTCTCTGCCAGTTTTTGCTTGTATCTTTGTAGATGTTGTACTTATTTACATCCTATACCTTTCAGAAAACAAATCTGAGACAGCTCAAGTTTTTAGATGGTTTTAACTGCCAGGGGAAAAAATCCTGCTGCCAAAACAAAGTTCATTTCAAAATAATGTCAATATAAGCACATGTTTTTACATATATTTTTAAAGTTTTTAGATTATATTTATTTCCATTTTGTACGAAAGGCAGAGAGACAAAGAATGCTCCATTTGGTGATTTGCTCTACAAATGCCCTACAATAGCCAGAACTGGGCCAGGCTAAAGCAAGGAGCCAGGAACTCCTTCTAGGTCTCCCATGTGAGTGGTAGGGAACCCAAGTATTTGAACTCACCTACTGCCTCCTCCCAGGGTATGCACAGGCAAAGAGCTAGATCAGAAGGAAAGGAGGTGGGACTCAAACCAGGCACTCTGACATGGTGTGAAGGCATTCCAAGCAGCGTCTTAACCACTGCACCAAATACCTATTCTTATAAACACATGGAAACAAAGGAGACACTTGTTTCATTGAACACCAGCTTGGGTGTCGTCAAATTTGCATAGATGGGATTAGGACTGAGTTAGACCAGGTTAAGTTGCTGTATGCTGGAGTGCTGGTTTGAGTCCTGGCTGCTCGGTTTCTGATCTAGCGCTCTGCTAATATGCCTGGGAAAGCAGTGAAAGACGGTCCAAGTACTCGGGGCCCTGCCACCCATATGGAGTACCAGGCTCTTGGCTAAAGCCTGGCCCAGCTCCAGCCATTGCAACTACTTGGGGAGTAAACCAGTGGATGGAAGATCTTTCTCTGTGTCTCCCTTTCTCTGTCACTCTGCCTTTCAAATAAATAAATAATCTTTAAAAACAATTTTTGCATGGATGGCACAGGAGCTGCATACTTGTCATTATAACAGCAATTCATACTGATAATTATTATGTTAGTTTATC